CCCATTGTGAGTTTTGTAACATCTCAGGATCGGAGTTGTTTAATAAGAGTGGGAAGTTACAGGAAGATACTGTATACCCATTTTTAAATTATAGTTTTTGGGAAGAAAGAAAGCCTTTTCTTCCCCCAGATGGTTGCACAGTAGTTTAAATGTTCACTATACTGTACGTATATACAAGGGGGTACATACTGTATATGCCTCTTCTGCACCTCTGATGGGAGCACACTCAGTGTTAATCTATTACAGATTTTGTAAAAAAAAAAACAGGAAAGCTAAACACTAGAGATTTAATTTTCCAGGTGACCCATTCTTAGTTTTGTCTAAAGCTGAACCAAGATTTTTTCCCTCAAAGACTCCTGTAACCAGTCTGCTTGTTTTTTTGGATCATATGTTTCAGTTTTGTCTTCAGTTCAGCCAATAACTTCCAGTTTGAGAATCCGCTTGCTCTTTGGCTCTGCTACCAATAACAATACCGAAATTCACAGCCACTCCCAACTGTGAAATGCAATTTATAATTCTCAGTTGCTAACTGGAATAATGAATTCCAGTTTATCACCTTAATTTATTACCTTGATCCGTGTCTCCACAAGGCCAGATAGAGAACTCTTACTGCTTTCCTTTATTGAGCCTTATTATTACTGACTATTACTTCCTCTGAGTGCAGCACAGTGGCAAAGTTATGTGCATTGCTGCCTCACAACACCTGGGCCCTGGCTTCAGTTCCAGGCCTGGTTAAATTCAGGTTAATTAGCATTTGGGAAAACTGGCCCTGGCGTGAATGTGTGTGTGTGCCTCTCCAATGAACTAGGGTCCCATCTACTGTGCATCCTGCCTTATAACTGTTGTTGGCCAGACTCTTTCTCCTCTGAGTTGGATAAAGTGGTGGATAAATATCGTTCCATTTGCAATCAAATAGACATTTTCAAGGCTGTGTTAAAGTATAACACTATTAATATAGATTTAATATTAAGTTTAAGTTCTTGGGTCAAAATTGAAATCCATTGCAAAGAAAGGTGTACAGTATTTATTATTTAGAACTGGTGTAAACCTAGCATCTTGTTAGTATTAATGGTAGAGTATAGACAAAGCATTATTTGGTGCAAATTAATTACCTCATAAACATTCAGTTCTTTTGTGTCCTTCCATTTTTAGAAGAACTTATTTTCAAGATTTAGGATTAAAATTGCTACTACAAGAGCTACTGTGTACAAAATACACTTATACCACAAATGCAAGCTACAGTATGGTCAAAGTAGCAATGCCTCTAATTTTTTAAGCATTTTAACTAACAATTGCATTAATCAAATCCTTACACTGCTCCTAACACTAGCTCAGACCAGTCTCTGGCAGTCAGCGTAATGTCTTGTTTAAGTCGCTAAAATGCATCATTAGTACTTTACCAAAGAATACTACTGTATGTTTAACTGTTGATAGCTGTATTATTGAATAATAATGTGGAGCAGTCTTACCAAAGTTGTGTCTGACAGTTTTACTGTCGTTTAAAGGGCAGTACTGTGTTCATGAAAATCGACACAGAAAAGGAGTTCATATCTATTTTGCAATTTAACTGCAGGCATGTGAAAACATACCATACTGTATTACGCATCCACAGTGGGATTCTGCACTGCCATTTCCTTTGCTTAATCTTCCATGGCACATTGATTGTGGTGCTGTGTTATTTGCACAGTAATAGATTTTAGAATTAAGCCTCACTGAATACACAGCACAGCATTATAATATGAATAAAGGTGAAACATTATGTCATCATTCTCTTACAAACATATTGTCTTTGATAAAAAGAACAACATATCTTAATATAAGAATTACAAATAAAATCATAGTCAATTGTCACCACCTGAAGTAACAGATTGCAGAAGATTGCATTCTTTAAAGGGGAATGACAATGTTATTTTTACATTTAAGGGTTATCTGCAATGATGAGTGTGTTTCAAACCACAATAAAACTCCTAAGTGCATAATGACATGTACAACCTTCAATTTACTGTAGATCACAAAAGAGAGTTTCAACAGAACAACAGAACGTCTGGTGATGTGAGATCGACCCTTTATCATATCGACCCATCATACACATGCTTTAGACCAGATAAAATTTGTTTATCTATTAATTTGAAATATTTTGATAAAACCAACACGTACAAGGTGACACGTTTTTTAGATATTTTATCTAAATATTCCAGAAAATAACATATCTGTTGCACAACCTGTACTTGTTTGATTGTGCATTATGCTGAATCTCGTTGAAAAATTTGTCGATGGGGCCAACATCAGTGCCCGTGTTTATTACCTATACCCTGGAAAAGGAAACAGTTTGACCTTCTGCTGATCCGATCCTCTGTTTTGTGTATCCAACTATGTTATGAACAGCCAAATGCTATTGATGATGAGCCATCGCTTTAAAATATATACTGTATGTGAGTTCAAAAATACACAAAAAGGATTAATGTTGTCAGGAGACCGTTTCTCATTTGTATAAACCAAGCAGGATGGGCCGCTTCCATGTCACAATGTGCGCAATGAAGTGGTGGCTCTGTGACTAAGGATCTGCACCTGTGGCTGGAAGGTTGCTGGTTTAAATCACGCACCTGGCAGAGGAATCCTACTCTGTTGGGCTCCTGAGCAAGCCCTTAGCCCTTAAGTGATCAAGATTAGCAGTTTCATCTGCCAGCAATAGCATACTGTATGCCACATGGCAACCATACAACCCTTAATCACATGATTCATGATTTTGCACTTTATTCAAAATTTTTTAAAAATTGCAATAGTGTCAATTATTGTTTTTTTATGCCAAGATTTAATACCTAGTCTGAGAAAATTTGGACTGCAGTTCCCCTTTAAAGAAAATGCATTCCTCTTAGATATCTAGCTATTCTAGGAAGCTAGAATGTACAATTTTGTATGCAAAGGTTATTTTTGAGAAGTAATATTCACTAATAGCCTCTCTTGTAAGGTTCATCAAAATGTACCTAAAAAATATTAATTTTGTCTATATCTGTTTGAGAAAAAGACTCTGACACTGAGTCAATATCTTCATCTAATAAAAGAAATCCTTGCAGCGCTCTACCTTATTCTCAAAACTTATATTCATAAGGAAAAGGTTTAACCTCTGCAAAGGTTTAAGCTTTGGTCAGTGCTGGGATGGGGGATATGTGAAGAAACCACGTTGCTGCTGTAAGATGTGTTGGTGGACTAGTAGGTGGCATTCTTCCCTCTGGGCCAGAGATTCCAAACCAAAGCCCACGTATGACAACACTGGACACTGTGATGTAGGGCTGCTGTGCTTCAGATGAGATAAGATCTAAAATATGTGGGCGTTTCACTTCAGTGTTGAAGAAGTGGGTCCTCTCCTATATAATGGATCATTTGGGGTGAAGAGAGCTACACAAATATAACAATTTCTGATTGTTATTATAGTTATTGCATGCATCACTCTAAGCAGATAAATATGGGATCTCTTCATAGGTGCTACAGGTAGCTGTTTATTCATTTGTCTAATCTAGTTCTCAAATGATGACAAGTTAAAGTTCCTTTGGACTGACAACATGTTAAGATACTGCATAAGGAAAAATGGAAAAAAGTGAGCTCATTAAGCTTATCCTGCCACTATATCACAATTATGCAGGTTTTCTCCAATGTTAAAGTAAAAAATGCGATTACAATGAAGATATTAATGCATAATAAAAAGAGGATAGTCAATAGTAATTGCAAATACAGTTCAGCACAAGTATTCATATTTGGAAAAAATGAGGAAACATACTATTAAGTGATATTTTTTATTTACACCACATAATCAACATGTTGTCATAATGTGGTACAAAATACTGGACTCATAATTAACTCTCTTGAAGTAGCTGGAACTGTCAAAGAAAGACACCATTGGCTAGTCGAAAAGCAAAAGGAAAATAAATCTGAAAAAAATCCACCCAGCAAATAAAAGTCCAACAAAAGTCCAACAAAAATCTTAGAGCTAGCACAATGAATCCCACAATCACCAATACAAAGGTTCATACATTTGAACCGGTTCCCATTAATGAAAATACAGAACAAAATTGTTTCTGGCAATGTGGATATTATTTTTGGAGAGCTTTATCCATGAAGAGGGTACAATAGAGTTGAACTCCAAAAGTTACATCTTATAATGTGTTTTAAATGACAAAATGTCTCCTTTCATGTATAAATGTGTGGGTGTGTTAAATATACAGTCTTGGATGAGTTTGCACATCATTTGCAAACACAAATGGGGGTATACAAATCTTTGTCTTAATTAAAAAAAATAAACCTGTGCAATGTGACTTTGTTACAGTAGTTTAAGATACATACACTTTTCACTGATTTAGTCATATTCTTAATATGTATTTTCTCTAAGAAAGTCACCACAATTATGTTTCATTCTTTGCAAAAGTGTCCAAAGTTTGTTCATGGTTGTACAAACATTGTACAGAAGGTATACAGTGTGTGCATATACGTATGAGCTTGTCATCCTGAACAAGAAATGAACAAGTGAAATGATCAAGAACCCCCATTAAAGGAGGGATACAAAAAAGCAAGACATTTCAATTTTCTGAAATAATGATATTTTATAGTTGATGTCAACAACAAATGTCAAAGCAAAGGTCCCAATAAAAGATCTGGTTTGTAACAAGGGAAAAACAAAACAAAACAAAAAAATGTTTTTCTTACATTTGTAAACCTAGAGTTGTTTTTAAACCACAGTGGTCACATTTATTACTGGTTAAACTGGATCAGACAATCTTTAGGTGAAGTATCTGTCAAACATTTGTTTAGAGCCCTTGGTAACTCCAGATGTTTTGAGTACACTTTTCACAACCCTAATCAACCCCCACCCTACCCCCCAAAAACAAAAATCACCTGAAAGAATAACAGGCAGTCTATCCTGTTTTGTGTAGTTTACCTAAACATTTTCTACATAAATACAATAAAATCTATTGTTGGTACTGTATGTCACAAGTGCTAAATAAAGGTTTTGTAAAATATTCAAATGTTTAAGTTGTTCAGTTTTTACAATTAAAAAGCACATCTGTGATTTTTTTTCTGAAGACACAAAAAGCATCTCACTTTCTAATTCTTCTGACAGAAAAAGAAAGAAAACAAAAATGTTCCATCATGGTTATCGAAGATGCCATAAAACATTGAAGTTCTCCAGTGCTATTCTGGTGTGCAAATATGTTACAAAGACAAACATTAGGCATGCCATCACACAAACCATGCAAAATAAAAGAACAAATACAAAAAAAAACACTACAGAGGTGGTAAAGGAAAACACTAAAAAAATTAACAACGGCCCTTCTAAACCAACAAAAAATGGGCCTGGCTGTCTGTGGCAAAAATAAAAGAGGAATGACAATGTCAAATATCAAATAAAAACTCAAACGGAATGTTTTCTTTATCACAATTAAAAAAGAAAATGAGAAGAAAAAGACTATCTGGATGCTGTGTTTATGATCCAGACAAATTGTCCCTTTTGACAAAACAAAACGCAATGTGTGCCATTGCTCAGACTGTTATTGCAAAATGTTCCCCCAGACCTCTTGTTTTACAGGCTGGCATGGGGAATATATGGCGTTATGTTTCAGCTACAGACTTCTCAAAAGCAACAAAAGGCTGATGAGGAAGTTGTTGCATTTTAGGGCTGTAAACATAACAGAACTGCACCTATTTACTGACTGGTGTTTAAGACTGTTGTTTTAGGTTAACCTCTCGCAAATGTGGTGTCCCAGCACTTCAGTATGCAACATTTCTCTTTCACCTGTTTATACACAATTAAAGTTATGTTCGGCTTCCAAAAAATGCAAGGCAGGGGTGAAGCTCTTCCGCTTTGTGAAATATATAATATTTTGACCACATTGTACTCAAGCACATTTAATTTCACATGAAGGCCTTTAAAAAATGAGATCATTTAAAAGAATCCTTTTGAATCAATTTATAAGCTTTTCACTGAACAATCTTTCTCTTGACTCCTTTCTTGCTACTAGATTTTCACCCTACAGCCCACATTGTACTACCAGAAAATTCTTATACCAAGAAAACTCAAGCCAGTGAACACTGTGGAGCTACCACAAGCTACTGTGGGCCAGCCTGATCAGCCTTAAGCAATTTCCAAATACCCACTTTCGGTTTGTGTCCTGTAGACAACAGAAAATCATTTCCACTTAAGATCTATAATTTACCTTAGCCAAAATTCAGACCAGGGATGCTTAATAGAATGCTATTCAATTCATTAGAATTCATGCATTAGCAACAGGCTATGTACTGTATGTGGCACCCTAGGAGTTCCTATATTTATAAAATTGTAAAGCACCACTAAATTTCTTGCATGACTGCTTTAAACGTAATATGACATACATCTCCATTACCTTGGGAACTCATGTAACAGTATTTTGACTTAAAAATAATTGTCTTAATCTGTTAGTTCTACGCCTACAGATTTCTATTTCTGAACTTTTTACTTGTTAAATAATGGATATTAATATGGTAAACACTCAGACATTTAGTTCCCTAAGGTTAATAAAGCGGTTTCTCAAGGGAAAGAAGCAATAAAATCAGTTTCTGTCAGTGAGTCTGATCTCAGACACAAAAGGGACAGTCTGAAACAAAGTTACTCTCATTATTTTATGATAAAAATGTTTTTCGATGGAAAATCCGTACAAACGTAAAAACACAGAAATGTGGCAAAAAGTATTTTAAATGAGCTAAAGTGAGCTAAACATTTTATTATTAGTCTTTAAGTAAGGACTAGCATGCGGGGGTGGCCTGTTAAGGGTTGTCTAGTTAGTAATCATGTTTTCCCATAAAATGTCAACCAGTGGTTGCAACCTTAGAAACTTTAAAATAAGCAGTATTCTCTAGTATTTCTTGACAATAACACATGCTGATAAATAGCAAATATTTCATATGAAGATGGCAACATCAGACGTATTAACAGGAACCAAAAACAAAAGGGATTGTATTATCTGTCATGCCTTCTTAAACAACCATATAAACAACGTCAGATTATACAAAGTGGTCAATATTAAAGTTTCAGCTCATGTGGATGTAGAAGATATTTTTTGCAATGCAAGTATAGGCAATGTTCTGGTTTAGTTATCTGTGGTAAAATAAGTCAGCACAGTGTGAGTGGCCTTAGTCAATTTCTACCAGGCAACATTAACACACATCCCTGCAAAGTTACTCAAGTAGTTCGAACTAGCTGGTTTAGTTAAAACAGGTTAAATGGTAAGTTATATCTAACTAGTTTTGGAAATGGTTTAAGGAACTCCATAAAATATTTTTGATGTAACACTTTTGACAATGATAACCATCAGCACAACACTACACCATGCTGATATGCCATAAAGTGATATTGAAGGCTTAACTTTCAACCACTACTGAAACTCAGACAACATGCTAATATTACCAAAAATCAACCTTATAGGACGCTAAAGCATCTTCCTTTTATATTCTGATTCATTTTAGGGAAAAGGTCGAGAAAGTGATTTTTAATTTAAGTCGGATCAATATTGTAGCTACAAAAACACTCCATTGTGAACATTATTAATGGATAGAGTTAATCTTAGCTTTTAAAAAGTGCTATGGGAGAATTCATTTTGTAAAAAAAAAAGAAACTGAAGAAGAAATGTTCAAATAATCTCTGCAGAAACACATTAAATTACCCAAGCTTGGAATTTCATAGCATAACATTTCAAAACAGCAGTAGTGTATTTTACATTTTCATACCTTGTTCTGACACTTTCCCATTGTAAAAGCCCACTACAAAGATGCCAATTTCCATGAACTCAATGGATGAGAAAAATCTGCTTTCCTGCTGAAAAGGAACACATTACTGGCAAACAGCTCCCTTATACAGTATCTGCTAGCAAACATTGCTTTAGCAGGCACCTTCCATGTTAAGATTGCTTCTAATTAATTTTATTTTACAAAGCCATCTTATTTATTTTGTCCAAAGCCAAAATATAAGCCTGTATTTTCAGCAGGTTTTCAGTGACTCTACCACTATAAACAGTTTTTAAACAAAACAGCCTTGCCCTTGTCACTTAATTATGTAGTGGGAGGAGTACATTTTGACAGTCATTAAAGCCATTGCTAGGCTTGAATTGGGAACCATTTCTCTGAAAAGAGTAAAAGAAACAACATATATAATGCTACTTTATATCCTTATTCCATGGCAGCCTTTAACAGTGCAGTAAAAAATACCAAAAAGAGCATCACCAGCCTAGCTTGAGATATATGGGTGTTATCACCTTGCAATACTATTTTTTAACAAGATTGCATCTTTTGCTTTTTTATATATAATATATTTTTTCCATATATAAATCTACTATGAACAGAACATATAGTAAATACACAATTGTTGGAATCATTATACAAAGTAGAAACAACTTTAGCCTCCCCACACCCACCCCTACCTGCCCCACCCCAAACCCGACTAATGAAAAGTTTGCTTCTTGAGAATGTGAACAAAATGGTCACGCTTCCTTAAGAATGTAGAATGCATTTTGCAACTGTACAAGAAAGAAAAAAATAAAAAAGTACAAAAAATAAAATAAAATAAGTGAAACATTGTACAAGTCAAAAGGTACAGATATGGAAACAAGAGAATTCACTGATAAAAAGGAAACATGAAAAATAATAATGGGGAAAAAAGTGGAACTGTCATTACAACAACTCTTTGTGTGACATGGAATTATAATTATAAAAACAATCAGAACAATTATCTCTTCGTTCCTTGCTTTGAAGTTTTCCAACATATTTATAAGTTACAATTTAATTGATCATGATCACAACTGAACTCCAAGAAAATAATGCTTAAGGTAGTTGCCAAGTGGCTAAACATAAGTTGGCTTTATTTAAATTTGACCTCCTAAAAAAAGAAAGGCTCCACCTCTTTAATCTGTACTGTTAAGTATCAGACAATGTTAAGTAAAATCTCTAAATGTTAAGTGTGTTTTAAATGTATATAGTACAGTACATACGCATCTTCTACATTTCATGCAGGTTATCTGAAATAGTAGTTTTATGGCCCCACCAAATTCAGTTTCACTTATTCCATCTGCTGCTAAAATTAAGCCACGTCCTGATAAAGCCATGTAACACATTCACAGTTGGTAGCACCTATACAACCGTGAAACTTTGCACCTTTTCTGGAATTTTCAGTGCATTTTAATTTTGGTAGCACAGGCCAAAACACAGGAAATATCAAGCTTTACTGGAACAGGAAAAATTTCAGTGAGAGATACTGAAAATTACTGCATCCAAAGAAATGAAAACTCTTTCAAACGTTTGGAAATTAATTTGATAGAATTCCAAGGAAGTCAGCATTAATGATTTGCACTTGAGAACATTAAATAGATCTTGAATCAACCTGTTGATTGCAGTTTTACATTTTTACTTTATTAGAATAATCTGAACAAGATTAAATTCCGAACACTTGATACTGAATTTCAATGCAATTATTCTGAAAGGCTCTAAATTCTGACAAAAATATTAATGTTGGCAGTTCAACATTTTTATAAAAATGAACTACATACTTTGTAAGAAAAACAATGTTTACAAAGGCAAATAGCATTGCTTTCCTAAAACTGAAGTTACTAGTGGAACAAATCTCGAGCTGGAAGCAAATTCTCATGCTTTGGTTTTTTGTTTTAATATTTTTTTTTTAATGGCATTCTAATTTTGCTGATGGCAAGTTACTTTATTACAGTACATGCTTTTAAAAGAAAACAATTATTTGGTCAAGTGTTTATATGGTGAGCTACATAAGGCAATACTAATTATAAAAATCACAGCAGGTTTAATTTAAAGTGTTCCAACAATGTTTGCCTCTTTACAGATGGCAACTACCTTACAAACTTGTTTTTAAATATACAGCAAAAATAAAAGAACAAAAAAAACTTTCAGAGACTTTCTGAAACACAAACTTGTCTACACCACATTCCTCGTAAACATGCCGAAGTCTTCTTTTGTCTCTTTTTTTTTCTTTTTCACTGCCACAGACTGGGCACTGCAATGTTGCATGTGAAAAGGAGGAAAAAACAAAGAATTGTTCTGTTATGTAACTCGTTTAAGGCAATGTTCTTCTGAATTCATCATGAAATCCATCAGGTCTAAAAAAGGCACAAACTCTCATTCTTCCAAATATATTAAAACTTGAGCCAGAAGCCCAGTCCTTCAGCTGCCTCCTCTCCCTTGGAAAGTGTCTTATTCATTTTCAACAATCACAGCAATGTTTGTAAGCAATAACTATCAATTATATGAACATTATGAGATCCATATTTATTATAAAAAGAAAAAAAAACACAACCACGTGTAGTAACGGTCAAACCTGCCTTGAGACTGTTTAACCATGAGAAAGTTCAAAAGCACCAGCTTTCACATCTACATTTTAATGTATCCCATTTTCAAAAAAATCTATCCATGAACTCTGCCCGAAACTGGCTGTAGGCTGCCCTTTATTTCGGACCACAGAATAAACGGCAAACTTTGTTGTTGGTTTTTTTTCCATCCATTTAGCTCCCACTCTCTTTCACGCCTGATCCCAGATGAGACACCACAATGGGACAATGGCGCGGCGAGGGAAAAAAATCAAATGGACGTCCTCGGCAGAGCTGTGTCAGAGACCAAGGTGAATCTCTGAGGAGTAAACATCCCAGAAGAGCTCCCTTCTTGCCACTACAATGGTGGCTCTTCCTCCATCGGTTCGTCCTCTGGCCTGAAGCGGTAACAGAAATCCAAGAGTTCAGCATCACTTCTTGAAAACAACAGGTTTTAAAGCAAATTGACAATTAATAGCTTAAGGGCTTTAATGCTATCCATGAGGGGAACAATCATATGGCTTTTAAAAACTAAAAAAGTAAAATCCAATTCAAAAGAAGCAAGACACAAATGTCTTTGTGCACAAAAAGGTTGTACTAATCATTGTGCTACAATGACTTCAACAGAAGGAAAGTGAGTTTACATGTTTGCATTATTACATTTTTTTCCTTTTTTAAAAAAGTGTTCTAAAACATTTGGTATTGGCAAGGAAAGGTGGATAAAACAAAGTTTACAAAAACGTTCTTGTGTATGGTTAAAGGATGATCAATCAAATCTACCGTTTTGAATTTTGTGATTATTCAACAACCTACATTTTTTTGTGTCTAAAATGTCTAAAAAAACTCACTTTGCGATTTTGACAAAGTGAAACGGGTCCAATTTTCAGGGTTTTGTTGTGACAGTCAGTCACAAAAGATGCACATGGGTTATTTACAGACTTCTCAATCACAATGCTGTTTGAAGTTTGTACTACAAATAAGCATTCACAATTTTCTGACTCAGCACATTTATGCTGAGATATACAAACAGAACATCTGTATGTAAGGTTTTCTACATGTTTTCAATTATACATTTGGCACAACCTGGCTCTCAGAAGCAAGACTATTTTGGACCTGTGCCTCCTCAACCAGATCAAATCCACTAAGACTTTCTGACAGTAAAATCCAAGATATCTTTATTCATACCTTTCTGTTGCATGTCTGTATGATGTATCAAAAGTGTTTATAAAATGCCATTATAACATGAATTTTTATTTCACATTTGTTGTCTTCAGTTATTTCTTATCTCTTTAGGATCAGCAGTTGTTCAACACAACCCACAGCAGAGTCAGCTCTGACTGGAGGAGTTTTATGGTTCACACTGAGAAAGCCTTAAGCTAAACAGTGTCCATCAAGTCAAAGGGATAACTAGTGCATGGCTACCTAGGAATACAATGGCCAACTAAAGCCCACCCAAAGCCAATAATTAAACATCTCTACTTAGGGAAATTGGGTGAAAACAGGTTAATGACACTGTCTGCTCTTAATGAACACCTTCACTGGTTGAGTCAGTTGGAAGACCCATATACTGTATATCCATTTTTAATGGGAAAATGGCACTTACAGTAGAAATCTAACAGTGTGCTGAATAAGACAGAAGTGAATAATTAAATACAGGAAGGATTACTTTTCAATTATAAATAAATGAGCATTATTTAATCATACACTGTTAGGATATCAGAACTCAGGTCAATAATATTTTATATTATATACGCAAGTGGTACAGTCAGGTGAAAGTACAACCAAAAGTGAGATTTTGTTATATTTTATGAATTTATTCATTACTAAAAACTATATTAAAACCCAAGAATATCAGAGAGTCACCTTCTCTAAACTCCTTCAAATCCAGACTCAAAACCTTCTTCTTCAGAAAAGCCTTTACTTAACTGACTCCATTCTTCACCCCTCTGCTCTTCTTAGTACCACCTTCCACGGGCTCCTCTATTGTTATTGTTGTATTGTTGTAATTGAAATTGTGTCTTATCTTGTGTATTCTTCTTATTTATTGTTGTATTCTTCTTATTTATTGTTATTGTCATCCTGTAAAGCGCTTTGAGAAGCCACCTTTAAAGGTGCTATGTAAAATAAAGTCTATTATTATTATGATTATTATTATTATATAGACATTGTTATATAAATCAAGGATTATTGTGACTATCACAATAATATTCCATGAAACTGTCCTAATTGTAAAAGTCAAGTGTTATTGAACTTAAGTACCACATACTCATAAATAACTAAGTATAATTATTACTGTTTATAGTTTTGATTGCATGTGATATCAAGTTTTGACTACTGTGTATGCATTGTCAACCAAAGACTAGAACAGAAGGTACTAACTAAATATGAAACCTTGATTAACTCTGCTCTTGTTAGTGGAGTTCTGCTTAATTCTCTAGGAAGAAATATCAATTTTAAAAATAAAATATATGGTGTAATTAACAATTTGAAGCTCTTTATATACTGTGAGAGGGCATCAGGTTCAGATAAGATGGAGGTCCTAGTCTGAGCCACATTACCCATAATGCTACTGTATGTGAAATGAGCTGCGGCCCTCAGTCAACTGACCAATAGGAGGAAGCTGGTACCTCACCACCACCACTGGAATAGAGGAGGAGCAATGCCCACAGTGGTAATCAAGCCGGCAAGCTGGCTGAATGTTGACTGATTTAAATGTATATTCTTAGACAGTATTTACTTTAAGATTCGATGTCTTTGTATGCTTTACATAACTGTACTAGTCTGGTGAGGACAGCATAGCATAGTGGGTACATTTCTGAACTCATAACTGGTGAGATGTAGGTTGAGGTCCCTGCTGTGCACCAGCTGTGGTAACCTAAGTGAGGTACTGTACATTACCCCCACTGTCTTATATAAGAGATAAGTGTCCAAATTCTATAGTTGTAGATTTAGAAGAACACAAGAACAGAACACATACCTTTTCTCCATCTGTTTGGTTGCGACTGATAAAGAGGCCATGGCTGTGACAGTCTCCGCTTCCTCGGTTTCACACTTCTGAGCTTCGATCACAGAGTAGCCGACCGTAGACGCAAAGCGCTGCACGGATCGCCAGTATTTACCTAGCACAGCAGATCAATGTTCAAGTCAGGCATGTCTCCTCTAGAAGTTGGCATTAGTTTCAATGCCTTGACAAAACAATTGAAATCAAAAGAGCTACAGATATACAAGATATCTGTACTTGCTGCCCTCAGACTATCTGCCTCATGTATACTCAGCTCATGTTTTCAAGACAGTAATCTCAAAAGAACACTGCCAACTTCAAATTTATACAATTTATTTAAAGGTAGAATCTAGAGCTCGCTACCATTCATTTGGCTAAAGTTCACATTCAGGAAATTACATTTTAAGCTGTCATGTTTAAATTGTAAAAGTACAGGTAATGGGGGTTGTCCAACTGATAGTTTAGCTGACATTTTAATCCAAATCAATTTATGGATAATGGAGTATTAAGTATGGAGCAATTGCTGGTGCAGACTCGAAATATATTTGAAGATGACCAAGTAGGTGTAAATGCCTTATTCACGGTATCACTCTGTGAGTCAATAGGAGATTTGGAACTGAAAGCTCTATATTATGGCCTTTTACTTTAATATCTAGCTGCCTCACACACTCAAGTGTACATTGTTTGGCTTTAATCCTTCCTTTTTTAAAACTGTAACTGGAAGAAATATCCAGTTCCTTCTTCACCAAGCCTGCATAATTAAAGATACTGTAGCTTTGCTTGTCATTACCCAGTTCTTGTACTTACTGTGAATTTCCAGGACCTTTTCCATGGATCGCACCGCATTAGGATTAGGCCTCTGCTGAAGGACATCTTGTGGAAAGGGATCAGGCTGATGAAAGAACAGAGACAGTGTCAGATAGAAGAAAAAATGATTTATGAAATGCCTCCTCAAGAGATGCACTACAGAGTTCAAGAAATAACTTTAACTTTACTACATGAGCATTTTGATGATTAATAAATGTGGTTAACATACAGAAGGTTTATTCCAATTGTGAAATGAAGAGAACTGATAAAACGCAGGTATTTATAAGCATTGTATCCTATAAAAAAAGGAGAGTGAGGGATAAGCGTGTGTCAGGATGCTGATTCATCATGCTGTATACAAAGTTGCACTTTCTGAGGACTGAGGAAAGGCTGTGGATTAAAAATGTGAACACAAGACCAACACAAAACACACTTAAGTCTCCTATCTTTGCTGAAAAAATAGTTTCATGCGTAAATGTTAGATTTCAAATGCAAGAAAAGGTAACACAAACTTTCTGCTCCAGGAAAACCTAAGAATGTTAAAAAAAATAAAGCTGTCAAGAGGAAACACTGTGTTTTGAACACCACATTCCTAATCCGGAATGATTAGATTTCCTTCTGGCTGTGGGCTACCCTCCTCCCAATCCCCCACGTGAAAAGAAAATGTGCAAAAGCCAATTTTTCATTGTGAAAATACTAAAATGAAAGATATGGAATGCTTCATCCCAAAAAATCAGTCCACTTGATTTGGCAAAGTAAAAAGAAAATAATGCCTTGGTGCCCTTTAGCAAAGCTGAAAGTTTTATTTTAATTAAAACAAATAAGAAAAGGAAAGGGGTGGGAGGAAAGGGGCACATGTTGCAGTCTGGAGATAGGGATACCATAATCCTACTCTGGCACGATAAAAACCTGATCAAACCAAGACATTCGCATCCACTTTCCCCTTACTCAATAAAACTATATTAAATTCTTCAAAGGCACAGTCTTTTCCCCTTTGACATTCCAGTTTATTACTTAGGGATTTGGGATGGTAGAGGGGAGATTACAGCATTGTCTGCTAAGAGTTATAAACACTTACAAAATTCAGAACAAATACTGAGGAAACCAGCGGGCTTCTGTCCTTGTTGAGTTAAAAGCGGAGTTTGCTGGAAAGACTGCACATGTCATTTTGTGTCAGGTCAGTATGTTGGAGGCAGGGGCAATGCGGGTGAAGGCAGCACACTTTTCGTCTGATGTTTGGATGCAGGAAGACTGCTCTGCACTGAATCCAAAAATCCTATGTTTTGGAATACTTTTCTTAACAGCATAGGCTCTAATAATGAATTGTTCTAACTTTAATTTTTCACTCGTTTTCACTGTCAGTGTTCCTGTCTATGTAAAAAACTAGCCGTGGTTTCTTGCTTAGGTGGCCTTGCACACAGCACACTGTCTGAGTGAAGAAGACTTGGAGCCAGGTGGTCACAGACTAACAGACCCCATCATGGGAGCTCAGCTGCAGGCATGCCTCAAGTTTATAGTGGATCTGTTCCAGTAATTTTCTTCTGCTTTAAAACATAGGCTGCACAGTATCAGGACAGACATCTACAGCGTTTTCGTCATTCCATGCTCTTGTTATAATGTAGGCATGACTGACTTTAAGCCTGGCATGGTCAGAGGCTAAAACTGTCCGTCATTTTGAAGGACGGCTCTTTTGCATGCCTATAAACTTTAATGAGTCCTGTCAACACACTGCTGGCTGGCTAGCAGGTACAAAACACATGGCAGTCAGTAACATTTACTGTGACACAAGTATTTATTTGATTTTTAAGAATTTTAAGCATTTTCTTTAGACACGCAGAATATTTTGTTATACTAGTGTTGGCCTTTTAAAAAACGTTATTGAAACCATATACTGTCAATTATACGTTCCAATACATAGGGAGAATACTAAAATTTTTGAGAAGCTGCATGAACTGTCAAGAAAACCAAAACTGAAAATATTTCTAGGAATAATGTCATTTTTTTTATTTTCAAAATGGTGGAACTGAAGACCTTTCTGGGATTAGTTTCTTTTTTTTTGTACTAAAATGTTTTTTAAAGAAATGAAACAGTAGAATGTGTCTTCAATAACAATTAGGAATTAGGAAATTATTTAAAATAAATCCTAACCACTGCAATTAGGAAACGGACATCTGTTTAAATACTTCAATCTATTAGTCATACAGTATGTTCAGCACTAAGATAATGCTTCATTAAAGTGCTATTTAACTGTAAAGTATAAATAATGTTTTTTAATGTTTTAAAAGTCTGCCTAATTTCTGAATAACAGAATTTTGCATTTTGTAAAGTCTGAACTTAATCTTTCTAGAAATAAACTGCACCTGTGGCACATAAGTAAAATGGCTAATGTGATGGCAGTAACCATTCATTAGCAGTGGCATTAAATTAGTCTTTAGCAAACAAATAATATGTATCACCATTCAGCTTTGTGGTTTAACCGTGTAGCACAAAACTTTCTTTTAACGTTGTTCTTTGTTGGAGCACTATTTATTTTACACAAATGATGACAGTAAATAGTCATAGCGATTCATTCCAAACAGACTACAATGGTAACTTATACAGCTGGAGCTCCATGTGTTTGTGTCTGCTGGCAAATCAAGCACTCACTGCTTCTCTATCTGTTTCATCAAAGGTTATGGGACACAGCTATTTCAATACATTCCAATTTTATTGCATTACAGGTTTCACAAAAGATTATGATAAAACACTTACTTCCTGCTTTTTGATGTCAATTAAGAACCTTTTTTGTTTTATCTGCTATCGGTTATTTCGTAGTTGTCCCAGATGCTGACAAACCCTTAAAATAAATGAGCACTATTTAATCTGCACTTGTTTAAAATGTTTCCATGAAGGTCCAGTTGAAGTCCTTCATGGAGTGAAAACATACGAAAACGTACAGGGATCTGTTTACAAATTTTCAAATACCACTGAATTAAATAGAATAAGAAATTTAAACAATAAAATGTAGTTAAGGAGACACTGTCTAAAGGCCTTACATTCCAAAGTCTCTCTAAGGAATACACATATTCTTTTCTCTTGGGAAAATGTGATGAAATGCAGACTCTAGAGCGGGTTTATGATAATGGCTTTCCTTTACTGAAAATGATTCCCAATTTCCCTAAATTACACAATTCCCTTTTGCTAACAGTGGGCCCATATGGTAGAAGTGTGATTTAAACAACTTTCAGATGTTCTATGGGCATTGTAAATTGGCAGGTGGTATGATAAAGGTTTAATGCATAATTAGAAATATTTTTGTACTGTACCCATCTTTTAACCACCTGATGTACCTGTAGCTGACTAAACAGTTTATGCCCAACCCTATACAGTACAATTTGGAAAGTAATCTTGTCCCATTTTTTTCTGTCTAACTGTTTATTTTCACTAATTTATAACTGTTTTAATGGTGAATAACAGCCCACGCCTCTCTGATGAGATACTGTACGTCAACTTCAGGGGGGAAGAGATTCCACAACATTGCTTTTAAATTAATTGCTCCATCCTCAGTAAATCTGTCCCAGCTCAATTCTGTGAAAAAATATTTTTCCACTGATAAAGACTCTCTACTACCTTCTACCCTGAAAACGTGCCCAGACGATAAAATTGGAAGGGAAAAGGCATCCCTACTAGTTTAACATCAACCAGAATCTTAGTCACGTCAACCTGGACTAAACAGAATGCATGGCTGTTATTTCCATTTAACATAAGCAGCAGTTTTGGAAACTATATTTTATTATTTTTTTATTGTTCTGTTTATTTTTCTTTTGTTCCAGAATGTATCTGGATGACTTCCATCAAACTTCCAATTCCTGGAAATGATTTACAGTTTTATCTTGAGCCTTGTAGTAGCAGAAGCAGCAGTGCATAGGCAAATCCCCTAATCCCCCTTTTCTAACTGCCTCTATTATGCTGGCCACAGTTGTGCCACAACTTTCCTCGCTCCTGTTCCCACTGATAGCATAAACTGATCTTTAGAGATCAGAAACTACAGGAAGTGCTTCAATTTACAACAGAATTCATGGGATTCATGGAAAAAAAACAGATTATGTGACAATTTATGTCAGGCTTACTGCTTCATACTATGTATGCTGGAGAGGTTTGCCTTGTATTTATTAAGTCCCATTAACACACTTTTGACGGCAACTGTGGGTCTGTCCATTTTTTAATCTCTTTATAAGCACAGCAGGGATAAATGTATCTTGTTTTGAATGATCCCATTGCTAGAACATTGAGCCATCTAACTTTTACTCAACCTCATGGAGTGCATGACAGTAAAACCAAAGTTTTAAAAGAGCTGATGTGCAGAATATTACATTACAAGAACATAGAAATCAAAGTTTTAGGGGATTTTCACAGAACAAAATCAGTGGGGGTGTGGCCGGCTGCAAAATTTTGCTAGGCAAGAAAATAAAAAGAACGATGCAACGATAATCAAGTTGAAAATTTAACTGATTAACATAATCAGATTTATATAATGGTTTTGATTTCAAAGCAATTCATATTTAGGAAGTAATGATGTGCAGGACCCACTTGGGTGTTGTGTAATGGCCATCATGTGCCAACAACCTCAATACACAACCGATTGGGTGGAGAAGTAAAAAACTGCTTCACCAATAGAATCAAGAGGGAAATTTAGGCAAGCCACTTTGTTCAAGGAATGGGTGGATTAATAGAGTACCATAAGAACTTTAATGACCAAGTAGTGAGGACCTCAGTTCAAGTTTCAACTGAAAGACATATTGTACACCTCCTACAGCACAGTGTCCCCTAAATGCTACACTAATGCAATGGTTTGGAAACTCTGGCCTGAAGGAAAGAGTTTTACCTACTGCTCCAAATACTGTATACAGTATTCATCACTGAATAAAATGTGAAGTTTCACCTTAATTTATTAAAACAAGTAACTTTCAGCAAATAAAACTCGTCTTGTTATGTATGTGTTCCTTCAGGGCTATATGATTCACCATAAATTCAAAAGTCCACAATGCAAACTGTCTCTACTGCCTATACTTACTGTATATACTGTATTGCTTGACAACCAATGACATTGTTGCACTTCCTTTTGTGAACCACAGGGACATGAAAGTTATCCCAACTAGGAGTCAGCATATAATGGAAGACCTACTCCAAATAGGACAGATTATTGAAGAAGGGGCCCCACTCCTGCTTCTACTGGAATTATATTAAGTCACTGAATCTACCAGCATGTCTTTGGGAGGAGGGAGGAGCGAATATGAGCACTATGCACAAATAGCATTACAGTCCAGAACTGAACTCAGGACTTTGCTACCTTGGAGAATTTGGCAACATCACTAACTACCTAATTACATTCATTTTTATAGTTAAGCTAATAAACCTAAAATACTAAACTATTATTATATAAGCACTTTTCCTTTATTTATGCAAATATTTCTGATACTGTACTGTATGTACATACATGTTAACAGGGATGGCAACTCAAAATCTAATTTGTGTAGCAGCTGCAGGATTTGAATAGCAGTTCCTAAACATACTCGGCAAAGACGTAAAAAAGGCACAAACATTATTAAAAAAATTCTGTTTCACAATTATTTGAATTGTTTCTCAGTATTTTCTCAAAACAACTTAATATGGATGTTAATCCACACAAACCACTAGCCAGGTAACTGTGGTGCTATAGTGCCTGAGAATAATTGAAGTGTATTTGTTACTTTCCTTTCAAAGGTTTTTGTTCATGAAAATGTTTGATTATAGCTGGTTTCACAATAATGGACACAAACCTTAAAACTGCTTCTACTACAAGGCATTCAGGCTTCCAAATCGAAACAAACAACGGCATCTGAATTAAATCACAACTATTTTTTACACATTTGCCACACAATGTAAATATATTAAATAGGCGCTACCCAGTTCATTACATACTGTAGATCTATCGTCTATAAGACACGGGTGTTCTGAGGATTTTGTAAAGAGCTATTGCATACTGGATAAAAGGAAGGCCTGATATTATATTGATACAGCAATAGAAGTTCCTCTAATATGTACAATTTCTGATTGCGTTAAGAATAAAAAAATAATTGAGCGACACTGCTCTTTCAGTGAGAAACAGTGGGCAATGGTTTGCTTGTTAACTCAATTTACATAAAGTCAAATGCAGCCAAAAATAAATAGATGTATGGTCAAAAGTAAGTGAACATGAACATTTTAATTTCAGGTCTATAAACTTAATATCTTGAATTGTTATGACATCTATTTCCATATCTAATGTTCCCATGCAGTGCTTCCATAGTTCAGTATGCATTGTTCCTCACTGAAATGCTGCTGAATACTACTGTGCTGTATTTTAAGAATGTTTAATGAAAAATGACATTTTCTGCTCTGAAATCAAACTTACTTATTTTAGGCAATGTATATTCAATTTTGGATTTGGACTTAATCCTTTCATATTATATTAGGGGTAAGTGAATCATAAGCATCAGATTCAGGAAAAAAATATGTGCACAGATGTAAACGTCTGAATTAAATCATGGTTCCCTCCTTTAGGGATTGCTGTTTTACCACATTATTATTTAGACAAACTTGCTATGCCAAAACTATTCTATTATAAAGTCAATCTTTAACTTTCCCTGCAGCCAAAAATCGAGTAAAAGCTAGTTTAGCAATTAAAAGTGACATTACATTACATAGTATGAAACCTGTTATGTTCCATTCATCAAAGTTGCTAGTTTTTCAGCTCAAACTAAAGTCTACATACTTCCATAATTAACCTCAGAGACTTTAACCTGGTATTTCTTATTTTCTTTATTTTTTTTTATATGTGGCAAAACATTAACTCCCAAACTGTGCAATACATGAAGGCCATTGGCATGACTTGTGTTAGCAGTTTTGGGTCTCCATCAGAGAAGAGTAGAAAATAGAATTTAATGTAGGCTCTTCTGATCCAGTGTTTCTTCAGTCACGGTTGCGTTGAGCATTATTAAAGCAACATTAAGTGTCTTTTATAGTATATAAAATTACATGATACATTCAATAGTACCAACAAGCAAAACAACAAATGTTTCATAATTATCTGACCATGGTGCATTGCCTTGTTTACTTTACAATTTGTATTATTATTTTATAATACAGTAGGTATTACTGAAGGGAACTATGGCAGATTTTTCTTTTTTGTTGTTCCCCTTTTTACTTTCTGAATTAAAAATATAAAGTACCTATTAAAGACACCTTTAATAAAAAACGGATAACAAAAAGTCACAAATGCTAAATTTTCCACACACTGAAGTAAACAAATCTTCTGAATACACACAGAAAGAAAACAGGCATCACAAATCAGAAGCATTAAAAAGTAATTTAGGCAAATATTGACAATACCTAGTTGTAAAATATCTGGCCCAGAGCAGTAAATACATTAGGCTTTGGAAATATGACCTGAAATCACAAAACAGTTACACAGCTTCACTAAAACAGTCATGAAAGAACTTAATAATGATGCCTTGTATGTAAAACTGCCTCTAACCTTATACGTTCTTCTGCACATTGCGTTTTATGCCTGTGCAAAGGGGTTATACCCTTGGAACTGGGCCTCTTTAGAAATGAGCATGAACAGCACAAGTGAACCTGTTTTGAATATCTGTCTTGCAGTAGGAAAAACCACAGCAGTTTTAAGCTTAGATCTGACAGGTACTAAAGAGTGCAGCGTGTGTGAAGTACCTGTCAGTTCCACTACAAACAGTCTCTCTCAGAAGGATTCCGTCTTTCTTTTTTTCTTACCTCGTTTCCCAGTAAAGCAGAAACACATGCTTCGGATGCATCGCAAATGGCGGTGAGGTCATGACCCCCTTCCAAAGCTAGCACTACACGGCCCCCAGCCAATCCCATCAGCTGCTTCGTCAGGTAGCCAAAACCTGCCACAGGAAACAGGAAATGCAACAAGGGTCAAAGTTCGGTGGGCAACTTTAACTCTTGGACAGCGATCAAAGGATAAGCAAGGAAAAAAAGGTATTACATCATATTTTCTTTAAAAAAAAAAGAAAAAAATGGCACTTGCGATTTACTCAGACTAAACACATAATACGAGCCAGGTTTAATTTTAATAAATGTGGCTTAGTATTTTGGCTCAAGTCTCCTTTTGATCTTTCTTGAAATATATGCATTTTTTTCTTTTCTGGAAATCGCCAATACATTTTTTGAGTACAATATACTGGCACGGTATACTATGCAAAAGAATCCAAACAAAACAGATTTTTATTTGTATTTTCTTATGTGCTGAATGAAATGAGAAATAAAATGACACAACGTCTGTGCTATCTGCAAAACTGTAGACTGGCACAGGACAGGTTCATGACGCAGAAATCTTGTACTTGTGATATCCTTTTCAAGCTAAAGCATAACCACTGTACTGCTAAAATGTATTTATGAGGTTAAATTTTTGTTCATCTTCTGACCCATGGTCCTTGATGGTGGATAGTGAATAATCCAACACATGGTGTTGGGCTAATAGAAAACAATCCTGTAACATGCAGAATTAATCTGAAAATACTGCAATAGCACTGCAAAGGTAGAAACAAAAAACAGAGCTGGGAAACAGTGCTTGTCACAGGCTATTTAAGTAGTTTTTGATCAAGAATTTGGAAGAATTGAATCAAACCAATTTTTATCTCAAGGCATGAGACAAATATTCACTGGACATGCAACATTTCTTTACAGCTGCAGTTTAAAAATGTTGTTTAAACAGCAGTAGAGATCTAACAAACATGCAACAATGTGTTTATTCTGCACAATACCATTTCAATTTAAACATTGTGTGGATTTAGTAAACACTACCTTCTGATTGCCATGCAAAATGTAGTTAATAATTGTACATTTGAAACCAGGCTACAGAAAATACCCCAATAACATGTTCATCTAATTTTTTTTCTTAAGAGATTTTTCTAGTTCTAAATGATTTACTGATCCATAAGGTACTGTCATGTTTTTTTTTTTAAACTACTTGTGTTATAAATTATAAAACGGCAAATCGCTAATCTCACTCACTCCACAAAGAAAAAATATACATGAATGCGACAAGGCCAGGAGAGTGGACAGTACACAGTCTTTCATGATGACTAAAAAATAAAAAAAATTATGTAATACAAAATATATTAGTACTATATGTAGTACTTAATACAGTACTACAAAAAGCGCCCTCTACTGAGAAAAAATCATATGATACATTCTCTTCATTTGATTTAAGCTTTTTGCTTTTACTGAAAAGCTATGCATGACTCAAAATACAATTAAAAAGTTATTCCTGCAGCAAATATATCCCCAGGTTTTTGCTTTGTAGCAAATGAATATCTGGTACAGTAGTGTAATAAACATTATGCAATCAGATAAGACCTCTTTTAAATTACACATATACAGTAACTATTCTTCCTACAATTTGTGGTCTAGGAGAAATGAAACAAAGGCAACATTAAGCTAATCACCTAAGAAATATCCATTTGTATACACATTAAATTAAAATGCACTTACACTTAGCTGTCACTTTGTATCCTCCAAGCGGGGATGGGTGTCCCTCCACAGCATCGAATCCTGAAGAAACCAGAACGACATCAGGAGCAAACTCATTTGCAATGGGCATTACCACAGTCCTGCAATGAGAAAAAAAAAGCATCATTTCACCATCAGCTCTTACAGTACACGTGCGCCTTAAAATGTAGGTGATATATGCAAATATGCAATACTGTAATGAAACTGAAGTTTTCATATATGTTTCTTGATTTTCATTGTTGTACGGTCTCTATATCAACCCAGGTGAAATGAACAGATTATGCATTTTATGGGGTACCCAAAACCCAATTTTTGGACTTTTTTGTTAACCACTTTAATACCTTGCATAAATACTACAATTTTACTAATAAAGCACTATAAAAAGTAAACTTTATAATGTAATAGTTTGTATTTAAAATAGCTCTAAATATTTCTGAAACCATTTCTGATCACTTTCAAATATACTACACAGTATATCTTTAAAACATCTTTAAAACATTGGTGAAATTACATTTCTGCAATTTTGTTTTACACACAAAACAGAAAGGCGTACTGTAGGTCTTAGGGGAAACATTACCACTGCCCTGCATCCATTGCAGGAACATAGCAAAGGGAACAGAAATATATTAGAACAGAGCGATCAGTCTGAAAGATATTTTCTGGCTTCAACCTGGCATGTGTGACATATCCCCCAAAGGGAGCATACACACAGCCTGATGAACTTGTTTTACAATAAGGAGACAAATCCAAATAATAGGTGCACTGTTTCTGGAATGATTTATTTATTCTTTTTTATGTAACAGTTCATACAAGTCGAATAAACAGTGGTATTTGAAAACAAATATATTAAAAGAAAAATTAAAACATAAGCTATAAGTACACTTCTATCTCCTAGACACTTCTTTGGTAGAAATGGGCTTGCTTGGAGATATTCCTCACAAAGATGGTGTTTAATGAAAATCTCAACCTCAAAACTGAAGTCCTTTCCTCTAACACGGGTTACGAGAAAAACTCAAAGTTAGAAAGTCAGTCTTAGTTGTCTTATTGTCAAGAAAGTCTCAGGATGCTACCAGTTCTTAAAATGTCTAGGTTCAAGTGACAGTACAGTGCTACCAACACTGTGTCTGATGAAGGGGGATAACATTAAACCTTCAAGAACCACACCAAGATTCTGCAGTTATTCTTGACTCACTGTTGTTGAAGTGCAGCTGTTTACATGGTGCTGTAAAGTGTGGGGGTGAGGCCTTTGGTGAGTGATGTAAACCTATACTTTTCTGACCTCAGTAACATGGCACTTGTCTCGTAGCTGTGGTCATGACTTGGGCTCTGTTTGTGCGCAGTCCCAGTCTATAAAGCTACTCTCATTTTTTCCATCGTGTGCTTTGCTGATTAAACCACAATTAAAGACTACAAGAAGCGCAGAATGTATAGCATCTGTCTGAGCCAACTCGAGCGCGGGTGGCTTTATTTTTAGGAGGTCTTGTTGAACCAAACGGTTGAAAAATCCAGACCATGTTTGCGTCACAGAAAAGAGCTGGTCAGCCCCGGGAGTAACATAATACGAGGATGTCAGAAAATTGTGAAGGCTTTAAATAAATGTGTCAAAACAGTTATGAAATTTAAAAGTTCACAAGTATCTAGGACAGCGGCTCCAATGGCTCTGCAGCAGATCAAGGTGCTCTTGTACTTATTTTAATGGTGCATGTGTGATGAAAATCAGTTTTGCTCAAGGAAAAGATCTGAATGTCCCTCATCTCAGAATGTTGCCAATCTCAGAAACATAATTGTAAAGCTTGTAATGTACAGTACATCAAATAGACCCTACATGTTTAGATTACTGTTCTTTAAACGTACTTGCAGATAATAATAGGATTTTATCCAATAACTGCACTACTTCTGCCACAGATCAAGAATTCAGGCTGATAAATAGCACTAATATCTAGGAGAAGTAATATAATTATTCACATAACTGAGAAAATCACTCCAAGTCTCCAAGAAGGCTGTCACGACTTACACAGCAGGTAATCCTCTGTAAACAGCTTTTTAATTTTTTTTACTAAGGATTTTTTACACTGATTTCCAAATCTCTCTGAAATGCCAACAAATGTCCCTTCTGACCGCAGCAATGATAGCATCAGGGGGCTAGCCTTTTTCGTATTTTTATTGATCATGACTTAAAATACAAAAATCTTGAAGGGCAAACCACAAGCGTTTGACATAAAGCCACACGACTATAAAGGGCTCACCGGAGGCCTTAAAAGTAGCAGTTTCCATCAGCTTTGAAGTTAATGCTGAAGTCTGAGTATCACGCCTGAAGAAAACTGTTTATATCATCACTTTTTGTTTGATTTTCTTTTTGAATGAGAAAAAATGTGCTAAACCAAAAATAAGATAAATTCTTTCTTGCAGGTGCAGCAGGTTCAGCATTGCCCCTATAGTCACACCAGGAGGAAGTCCTGTTTTTTTGTGTGCAACAAAAATCATGACAGTTGAATCACTGACAATCCCTGACCCACTAAAGATAAAACAATTTCTATAAATGGATGTAGCCACTGCCACTGTGACCAAGCAACTAAAATATCATCCCAAAAAATGACACATAGATTTTTAAAATTCTTTAAGTCACCCAGAAAAAGTCTGTTATTATATAAATATTAAGTTCTATTTTATCTATATCATCTCCTTTGTAATTTGTGGGTTAGGTCTGCTTCTACAACATTCCTTGGATGTTACGTTTTCAAGCAGTCAATTTTATTTTTATGAAAGATAAATATATCCAGTGCTTATTGTTGTTGAATAGCAAACATAGATGTATATTATACCACATTCTCATTGAAGTGATGCTACCATATGGTGTTTATGTCAGAATTTGAAGGTTGCATAAGGTACTCTCCCTATCTGTTTGAATTTTTTCCTGACTCATTAATTTAGAAATTAAGATGTACTGCCTTTATGATGAATGACTGAAATATTCGCAGTTGACACTGCAGCACAGATCATTTGGCCACTAGAGTGCTCACATGGGGAATAAACCAAAATATAAATTGATAAGCTGAACTGTAAAGGTATTAATATGCACAGCTACAGGGGTCTGCCAAGAAAAGCTTAAAAACCATGTTAAAGTATCTGTTTACTTTATGTACATTTTCAAGAATTATACAATAGATGGATCCTTTCAAAAATGCAGTAAACGACTTCATTGAGGTAATAAAGTGAAGATGGTGATGACAGAATTGCTGTATAAGATAGGACACTCTATTAAACCAAAAAATAAAAATAAAAGCTAGTTAAGATAATAGCTCTTTCACATGGATGGTTTATGAGTACCAGAAATCCTGACCTAGACTTAATCTAAAAATTGTACAGTAAGGCTCTAGTGCTATACCATATATTATTAACAAAGCTAGTTAAGAATGAGAGTAAAAAAATCGAATCTCATAAACAGAATCCCTGTGACACAGATTTTCTAAACCTTGTGGACTTACCATTGCCTATGAAATTCCATGCATGGAGTATTTTTATCCCCCCTATAGACTCTTTCAAAGCTAAAGGGGTTTAAGATCATGAAACGGGTTTTTTGCTAGCTTAGGATGGTAATGTAATCCACTAGACAGCCTGCTTTACTTTCAACACACATACAATAATGTCTTCATATAAACAGAAAGTGAACTCCATAGAATCCATTAATTCTTTCGACAGACAGAACCATAAGGCAAGAAAACCACCTTTGCTACGTTGCTTCGTTTGCAAAAATGTAGCTTTTGGTTCAGATATAGATTAAATCTGTAGCGACCAATACAACAGTAATATACACAGGCTTCAATCTTCATTGTACTTTTAACGCTTTTTTCCCCGTTTAAAATCTGGTTTTGCCATTTTAGTCCAAACAAAGGGAATTTAGGTAAAGAATATCCAAAGAATAAATAGTTCGTCTAGGCATCGGTGTCTTTTCTGTAAAAAAAAACTAAAAACAACAACCAAAACAGTGGCTAATGTGCTGTTAATAATAAATGAGTCAATCAAGTATTCTATTTTTTTAGTTCTGAAAATGTTGAAAGATTTGTTGGAAAAAAAACAGTATTATCCTAAAAAATTAATTCCAATGTACATATAAAAAGCAGAAGAAAGGGCATACTAGCAATTACTACCACACTGTCAACCTGCAATGTGACCTTTCTGAACCTCAAAAAAGTGACAGAACAAGAGGAAAAGTAACATGCTTAGATTAACACACAGTGAGTCAGTGGCAAAGTCAGGACCTTATCCAGGAACCTCTTGGTAACAATTTTTTTTTTGCTAACCACTGGATCTCCGGCTGTTCAATATATTTTGACAGTGTGAGGTAGGAGCTGCATGCAAGTAAACCAAGAGCAAAACAGATGGCTCTCTCTCACAGTGCTACTGCCACTTATCCCTTTTCTCCTCACGGCCAGTCCAATGTCGAGGACCATATGGGCAAATCATAGGTGCTTTGCCAAACATACAATTAAAACCCAAGAAGAGCTAGAAATAGTGAGCTTTAAAATTAAAAAAAAAAAAACATTAATTGATCTCAAAACATTTGGATAACTTCATTTTAACCTTTTTTCATTTGGATAAAAAGTGATCAAAATGTATTCAAGCCCTGCCCGATCTCAAGCCAAAAGATCACAAATACCATTAAAAATATTTTTCTGTTCATTTACTTCACTATACTGTACAATAGGTATGACAATGGATATAGTAATGATGTGCTGGTGTGAGTCTGGGAGGAAATATACAGTACTTACAATTATTACTCACTTTTTCATCTGTTTGTCACTGCAGCCTCTCTAAAACTGTACAGCGTACATAAGAGTCTCAGAACAAGCAAGGGTTGGCTTTTGTGCAGGGTGGAGAGTGCCAGTACCCTTGGCAACTAATTCTTGGAAAGGGATAATGCCTCAGATGTTTTTAGTCATTCTACTTAATTTTCTTTCTGTAAAAAGACATACTTGTTCTCAATATTTACAAAAATATCAAATTCCTTTTGGAAACAGTAATGTCAATATAAAATCTTAGAACTCCTTTACACTTTATTCATTCCAATCAGTCCTTCACTTTAGTACTGTATATTGTACATTTAGATTAGATTGCTTTCCTTGTAGTTCCAGGAAATCAAGTAATTTAAAAGACATATGTAGTGGATTGAACATTAATGAATAAAATATAGCATTCACTATACATTTAATTTGTGACCCAATTTGACCAATAATTAGGAAATATTATTTGCAATGGAGAAAGAGCAGCTGTAGTACTAGAAACTAGAATATGCAACTGGAAAGTGGAATGGCTTCCAAAATGATCTTGAATGGCCTGTCCAATCTGAAGAAGAATCATGCCAATAATGAGCTGAGAAACAATAGGTAGGGATGCCAGGAGGAGACTTATACAGGGTCAGAAAGGGTTAATTCTAGTCATGGCTATCTGCTGTCAAGCTCAAAAGCTTTTCCACTGGTTCCCTTCACAAAAAAAAAGAAGAAAAAAAACATCAAAGACTTGTCATCTGGCATTGCGGAGAGCTGGTTTGAATTAAGTTCAATTCTCCTCTCTGTTTCCAAGTTCATGGTGAAAGTGCCTGGGCTTCTGGATTTCATTAGAGCCAATTTTCTTATCTTTTTTTTTTCATTCTTTCTTCATCTCAGGCTTGATCCCCTGCAAATGCAACGTGGCACTCACTGGGTCTAAATACCAAGGTGCTGCCTTTAAGGCACGCACTGCCTCTCGGGACCTACAACCAGGCAGTGAGAAAGATAGAGCGGGAAGGAGTGAGAAAACCCATTCTGGATATATGAACTGTTGAGTTCTCCTTCCAGAATGCACGAGGGACTATAAATCCTGAACTTTAAAACACTGTTGCATGCTCAAATTGAAGAGAACAGACCCTGCAGAAATAATTCACTCATAACAAAGGGATAACGAAAGGTGGTGTTTTGTCCCTCTTGCTGGGCAAATAGGTATAATATTTCAGCTTGGCAGGTGGTTAGAAAACAATTTTCTCTCAGGCTCATAAGCTACCTTATACTTTTTTTCCAGATCCCAATCTAAAAGACTAGGCACATACTGTATACCGCTATCTGGCATCAGTCCTTCAAATGGCACACAAAACCTGCTGGATTACCAATGAAAGCATTGACTGTCTTCCCTAAGTGTGAATCATTCTGTTCACTTGTTACACTTTTGTGGGATACTGCTCACTGCTTTGTGGGATAAGAGGAATTATTACCGACTGTTAATACATTTCTCTTCAGTCCTATTTTAATTTTATAAACTGCTCCAAACCACATTATTGGACTGTACATACTGTACAGTACATGTATATACAGAAAGCATCAAAAGAGTGTAGACTGCAGAAAACAAGAGAAAAAAGAAACATCTGTTTTGTAAACAAGGTTTAAATGTTTGAAAATCAAATAGATTTGTTAAAGGGGGTTTCAGATACTTATGCTGTGTGGAAGGAAAATAAAATGATTTAGTAAAGCTATTCAAAATACCTATCTATGTATATTGAAAGAACTTGTACTCAATGTTTACTGTGGTACAATTGTATGAGCACAAGAACCCAAAAGATATGATCTGAGTGGGTGGATATGCCTTCCATTTGAAAACTGAAATATTTTGATGACATAAAAAACTGGTCCAGTATGATTTTGCTGTTAATGACCAAGTGGAAGCGCTGCTTTTTGGCATGTAATTGGGAAAACAATGACTCTACAACCCAGTAAAAAAAGTAAAATAAAAATTAGGTTTCCCTTGAAGCTCAATATTATTTACTATATAGTAACCAATGAATCAGAATGGAAAAAAAGACTTAGCTAAAAGACTGACAAGGCAGTCATAATCTTTCAAGGTGCAATAAAATGCTATAAGCATATTGGTTAACAGCATCAAAACTGATAATTTGGCAGTTTTCTGTGGTATATTCTGGGCGAGCAACAAAATTGGCAACCTGGCATCATTTAGATTAAGCAAGTAGTGAATATACTGCACTTCAAGGCACCGTTTGCAAACTCCAGTAGATTCAGAACAGACACTTCACTTTGTTTCACCCATCTCAGCCCAACTCCAATGAAAACAGGTTAACTGCCTTTTCTGCTTTAAAATTCTGCTTTTGAAGTGAGAAATGATGTAAGTAGCTGAAATACAGTACTCTATATATTCAAAATATGCATGCATGATCCAAGACATTTGTTTGTACTTTTATGTGTATTCTATTTAAAGGTGTACCTCAGCAACTTTATATAGCAAGAACACTAGTGCAGTTTATTTTAGCAGCAAAATTAAATCAGGCATTTTTAATTCAGCTGGCATCACTTATCCTCTATATGTGAACAAAAGGCAGGAAGGAAGGTGAAAGACATTTAACTTAGACATGGTCTTTGCTTGAAGAGATTTATTGTGACCTCATACAGAGATGTGTGAAGTAGTGCTTACAACTGCTTACATGCAAAACGCTAGTGGAAGGAATTATTAATTTTATACTTTTAAACGCTGCCTGAACTCTTTCAATGCACACGGCTTCAAAGTTCCGCAAAGTACCATCACAAATTGAAGTTTACACCACACAGAGTAGAGGGTTATTAATAGCTCCAGAAAGCACTTTGTCAGACACCAGGGATAATCAGGTTCAGTCTGCCTGGCACGGTTTAAAAGCACGCATATAAAGGAGGTACAGGATAAAAGAGTCAAAGAGGAATAAGCCAAGACTTCAGGCAAAAAGTAAGATTTACAAAATTGTTACAATAGGAACAAAATATTTTTTTCTTAAGAATCAGAAAAATGTCAAATTTATATATACATATTATTTATACACATTAAAATGAGAACTGATCTAAGAATTAGTACAGTACGTTCCATAAAAGTAGGGATGGTTTCTAGAGTGCATTCTACTGTATATAGTGATTCCTGCAATCCAGAAGGGATCATGAAATGTAACAATAAGCACAATTTATGTCCCTAGTTTCATACAAAACTACTGAGCCAATGTAAAATATTGGCCGTGAAATGACTTTCTTTTTTTTAAAATGTAACAAATAAATTCAAAATTTCATGGAATTTTTCTGTGGAACAGTCAAGATTATTTGCTACTGAAACTGCTGCTAGGCTGGGAATAGTGCACGTTTTCTGGATTTCTAGGACTGTTTTTATATACTAAAAATGTGCAGGTAAAATTGAGGAGCAGACAGCTGGCTCCATGGTCGTAATCGATTCTTTAAGGATTCCACCTCCAAACATTTTTTGTTCTGGGGTTTTCCTGCTAAAGCATCACTGTGTCTTCAACAATAACATCAGAGCATGACCCAGTTCAGCTAGCATCAGGATAACTGGAGGAAGTATTTTTCTGTTATACTGTATTTAAGACATGCATGTCTGCCCAGAACATTGATATTAACTGGACTTGAATCATTAATATTATTAATAATAAATAATAATATAATAAAAAAAATTATGTAGAAGACACTGTTATACACTATGCATCACCACGATGAGAGAACACAGTGAGTTATGAGGTATTGGGATTGGAACCTTTTGTTATCAAGTACTATACCACGTGTTTCCTCCAACATCTAAGTGACACCCACAGAAGGCTAGTGTCCCTAGTGTCCTGGGTTACCTGAAAGCTGCTAGGTACTCAGCATCCTCCATAGGAGGCTCCAGTCCCCCAGTGAAAGCCATGTTGACATTAAATCCCACTCCTGCATCAATGCCAACCTGTAGATCACAGAAAGACATTTTGTTAAGAGACTGGAAGCTGATATTTGCGAATCGCCCCTGGAGGGCAAAGGCTGAGCAATAAAATTTTAGGTACACACAACCCAATTTCATCATATATCTGAAGCTATGAAAGCCTAGACCTGGCCTTTACTGGGATGGGGAGACCCCTAAGGGAAACATGGTTGCTGGAACAGGTGGTACTGTTGGACCAGTAGGACATACTGTATGTGTCACGGTCCATGTTTTAGAAGGGATCAGCAATTAGAAGTGGTGATGAATTCTGTTCTTCTTTGAAATTTAAAGTGGTCTACAGGAGAATCTACAAGAATTGGACTCCTTATTCAGAATCATTTAAATCCACATTTTTTCTTGCCCGCAACGATGCCAACGAAGACATCATTCAACAAAACTAAGAAAGCTGATTGAAAAGGAAAAAAAAAACATTCTGCATTTCAAGACATAAAACAGGAGAACCCTGTACATTTGATGCATGCCTTTTTATCACCTGGTACCTGCCTTTATCTGTAACTGCAACCAAATTGCAATAAAGTGAAGATATGGCTATTATTCAAGGTGTTAAATTATTATAATTATTTTAAAATATTTAAGATTTTTGGCAAAACAAACTGGACTCTTATTCAGGGTTCAGTCTTAATCACAGTGTTAAACATAGTTAGAATATCCTATACAATTAAGAAGAATATTGGATACAAAGCAACTTTCACCTCAAACATTCTCTCATATACTGTAGGTACTGTTTTCTTAATGTGTAGTTTTCTTTCGGAAGCTAGGCTATCCTTTGATTCCATTAATAATTAATGACAATAAACGAAACAACGCATATGATTACAAAACAATTTGTCTCGCCATAAAAGCATGCAGGGAAACAAAAAACAAAGCGTCAGCAGCTTGTTAATAGGTCACACAGTTTTCTTCAGAAGAAGACCTGGGGAGGAAGCTCAAAGCTAATGGAATGTGTGGTCAGACTTGTTCATGGCCCAGACACCAATACTGCACACTGGCCAAGCCAGCTGGAAGCTCTTTTAGCCTCAGAGAGGGGCAGATACTCCACCCTGTAACAGGGTGAGTAAAGCAGCCCTGCTGGCATTCGGCAAGCTTCAGAACTCAATCCAAACAGAGAATTACGACAAAGACCTTAATATCCTGATACTGGCAGCAATTAACTCCTGACCCTCTGGGTCAATTTTCTAGACACAGCCTGATGTTTCTGACAGGCAATCTGCTCAATATCTCCTTCAATGCCTTATAAGAGGAAAGTACAAAAAGCTAACAGCATTATTCTGTAAATTATTTTTAAATAAAGCAATTTTAATCACTACTGCGACAGTGGTAGATACGAACACTTCTGAACCATTTCAGGGACAATTTGTTCAAACTGAAAATAACTATTTCAGTCAAAACTGGGCCTAATCAAAGAGCTAGACCAGTGGTTCCTTTATCTGTTATCTTGTTTCATTTCAGCATTCAAGCAGGGTTAATTCTGGGACAAAGTTCAACCAATTATAAGCTTTCAAATTCCCATAAAAATGTACTTTTTTTAAGAATCAGTATTGTTTTAGAGGTTACTTTACTCATATCTTGCTTTCTATATCACAAGTTTTAACGCCCAAACAAATCCATACATTCTATGGACCCTATTCACATTAGGGTACTATCCTTTATTATGAATAACAAACTTCTAAATGTTTTCAATTACAGTAATACTACTGCTTTTGTCATTTAATTCGGTTACCTTTTAGTGATGGCCTTTTCGGGATTTAATTTAGCTAATGTATAGTCAAATATAAAAAAAATAAAAGTGATGTTCATCAATAACTTTCACAGTTCATAGATTGATTTTGTGAGTTTTAGACTGAAATACACAGTGGTAACAGACAAATAATTTACATAGAATTAAACAAAAAGAAACCAAAGTGAACTTATTAGAAAATGCATAAAAAATGAAGGAATTTCCATTAAAGCATATATGATAATTCTATTAAATTGAGGTTTACTAAAACTGCCTTGTTTTGAGATTTCTTTTACCTCTTCAGGTGCTCCACTGCCTGGAAAGAAGTTGCCATCATCGTAGCGGTGGAGAGACACGTAAAGAACATTGGGGTCACCATAGAAAGCTTGTTGTGTTCCATTGCCATGGTGAACATCCTAAAACAATGCACACAAAAAACTACCATTACTAAACACATACAGTAGACATTTGCATGAAGTAGCAATTTCTACTTGACCTTTTCTTGCAAGACTGTGCGAAATGTGATTTTAATTTGTAACTCATACACTTAATCAAGTGCTGCAACTTGTGAAAATTTACTGCTGCTGTTTAAATTCTTGCATTTATATAGTGTTCTTGTCCAGCAGGAAACTGTGAATTTCTCATTAATTACAAGGGGACTTCAAGATGACCAGACTGTAAAAGTCCAGAGTGGAATTTAGCCAGGACACTGGGGTTAACAAAACAATGCCATGGGATCTTTATTGGTCAAGATGTCAAGACCTTGGTTTAATAACTCATCCGAAGGATGGCATCCTCTATAAGCACAGTGTTGCTGATCACCATACAAGGGCATACATCCATCCATCCATTTTCTAACCTCTTCTTCCAATTCAGGAACGCTGGGGAGCAAGAGACTATACTGGACTATACTATACCCTGGAAGAGACTCCAGTCAATTGCAAGGCAGACACACAGACACATCACAGTCTCACACAGACATCTAGGGTTAATTTTCCCAGAAGCCAATTAACCTACCAGTAGAATTTTTGGACTGCGGAAGGAAACCCGAACGAACATGGGGAGAACACACAAACTCCGTGCACAGAGCACCCTAGGTCTAGAATTGAACCCAGGGCCCCAGAGCTGCTAGGAAAGTGCTGCCCTTTCCATTGGAAATTCTGGCCAAGAGGGAAGAGAACCACCTTTTGGTCCACATGAACTCACAAAACCAGCAACCTGGTTTTTCCATTCCCAGATCAAACCTTGCTTAGCTTCTGAAATCTGAGAAGATCAGATGGCAAGGTGCTTATCTTGGCATTTTCAAAAAGGCTGTACTGTAACACGAAATATTCAGAAAAAAAAGGTTGCTGCTTCCACCTAATATCCTATGTTTAAGGCTCTCAGTTTACAAATGTGTTACATTTTTAATATATAAATAAACAGAGTTGATTGTGGAGTGCAAAGACTGAAAAAAACAAGTTAATTCATTAAAATTAATATTCATAAGACATAACAGAAAATAAATTATGTATCACTCTCCACAGTACTGTAACTTTATACTTACACAGTATAAATATACATGCAAGTAATCCTCAGGGCATTTTATGTAACAACGGCATTTCTTCTGTTCTTTTCATTGTGATGACTGGTATCATTAACAGCTCAGATTTAAAAAAAAATCTTATGTAAAAAATAAAAATGGATTCTGATGCTGCACAGGACATGCTAATAATCCTAAATGTTTTCGACAGACAGGAGGAAATTAAAGTTGCTTCAAAGGCATCTGGAAACCCATAGTCATTAAGATACATCACTGCAGTGATCTTCATTCCTTTGCTGTACATTTGCTGTACAAATATTTTCATTTTATACAGTGTGTACTGAAAGTGCAGCTTACCAAAAACAACAGAAATCTAATTTTTTCCAACAAGACATGATTTTTCTGACTGCATGGTAAATGTATGAGTAGTGTGAAAATCAAGGAAGCTTCTCAAGAAATAGGAGGATTTGCTTTATCATTATAAATGTGGTAGAGCAGTAAACAGTATCCACTGTCAGGAATAGGGATTATTAGAGATGCAGTAACACCAGTCTATCAAGGTAGTACAATGAAGAAGGGACACAGATCCACTGCAGGGCACACACACACGTTTCAGACACCAATTGACTTGGCCACCAATTCCTTAGAAGGTGGAAGACAAAAACCATTGTGAACACGGTAAGAATCTTAAAGCCCTTCACAGAAGGCGCCTTACTATGGAATAAAATTCAGGATTCAAGAGCTATGAAACAGCAGTTAACTGCTACACCACCGTGTCACCCAAAATATTACAGTATGATACTAAAACCTTTAAGGTTTTTTCAACACCAAAAATGGTGTTTGACCTACTATAGACTAATGAGTAGTCTCCAAAAAAAATGCTACATTAAAAAAATACTTCTATTTACATGACAAATCTTTAATATTTGTCCCTTTAGGGACTTATAAATAGGTTCAGTGTGGTTGCAAATAAAAAATATTAAAAATGCAGCTTGTCTCGACTACAAATGATGGAAAATGTTGATAATGAATTATTTTTCTTTCTAAATTACTTGATAACCCATAAATATTAAGGCCTTTAAGTTTAACCAGCTTAACACGTTTCATTATACCACTTATTAGGAAAGAAAACAGAATTCTAATACAAGAGGCTGATCTAAAAAGCTTTGATCCAAAAAGCTCCTCGACCACTATAACTCACCCAATCTACTATTAAGATCTTGCTAACATTGAGTCTGAGTTGCAGAAGTTTTGCAGCAATGGCCACGGAGTTGAAGTAGCAAAATCCCCTATAGTTCAAGAGAAAACAAAAATAATGTCAACTCCAGGTATGTGTCATACAACAAAGATGTAACATTATTAGTACATAATGCAACATTTACTTTCCATCACCTATCATCTGCAATTATTGGCAGTATCTGTGATTAACTGCAGTATTTATCCGGATATCATTGAAAATAAATAAAATGGTGCCTAATTTAAAAAAAAAAAGTTTACCTAGATTTCAATCAGTTTAGAACAAATTTGCATTTACGGTGACCTTGCGGAAACCCATTTAAAAAACAAGGCATTTACCATTGAGATTTAAATGAAATACCTTGTTTTGGACAGGGGCACCCCACCTGGGATTTGAACGCACAGCCACTACTCAACCCTAGCCTGCTGCTATCTTAAGAGTTTGACTTTATTTTGGTGGAATCTTAGTGATCTCTCAGTAGAAAAATTATAATATGGCCATATATTAGAATTTTCATCCAAAAGCAATAGTGTTGTGTTTGCATTGATCTTCTTATTATTCTACTGGAGCATCTGTTACATCTAGCACCTAGCAATTTTGCTAGCATCTGACAATGCTAGTAAAACTGGCACAACATTGCAGGTAAGAAATCTCTATAGTGAAATGGATAGCAAGTACTTCATATTGAAGAAACCTTCAATATGTTCCAGGAAATTGAACTTACATTGGAGTGCTCTCCTCTGCATGGTGGCCAGGGGGTCGGACAACTGCAAAGCCATTCTGAAAACAAGCAGCAAGACTGATGTTAGATATCACTTGTGGTACAAGAACAAATGTTTCTCCATTGTGTTCTTGAGCTATGTCCTCATGTGGACAGCATCCTGTACATTAAGACTAAGACTAAATCTTTTTCAAGGCAGAAATCTTCTTCCTCTTCTTTCACAGAGCCCCATTTTTCCTGACTGTTTTGCTAGAGAATATCTTCAGTTTACCCTATTCATTTTAACACTATATTTATCAATGACATCTTAGTAGCGTGCAAGTGTTTTAGGTTTATGTTTTGAAGTTGGCAATATTGGGGCCTTCTACAGTGGTCAGTAAGAATACTTATTGACAGAGCAAATGTTTTTACATTTTAATACTGTTGTAGCAGCTGCTATTTATTATTTTGTTTCAAGTTTTCTATAAAGAGGTTATTATTTTAGAGTAGGTAGAATTTTTTTTTAGATCTGATAACATTGTATGGCAGATTTAAAAACATTTGGCAGTTTTGTGGTTGAAAGGATTATTTTAAATCATACTGACAGGCAGATCGTTTTCCAGTCCCAAGATCGCACTTTGAAATGACACAGTTTTCTTTTCTTTTACAGTGTTTTACCTTGCACAGAAACTGCTTTCGGAAGCTAAAATTGCTGTGAGTGATAACTCTTTCACATCCACCAGAAGCAGCAGACTCCAAATGTCTTCTAACTAAAAAAACTGCCAGCAACACAGTCAAACCCTCTCGGCATCAAAACCAGTATCCATGGTTGCATGGAAAGCCTATACTGCATATATGCATAAATAGTCAGATTTTATTTTGTAAAAATGAACCATGTTCATTTTTACAAAAGGCACCAGATTCTTAGGAGAGCGAAATTAAATGAAACAAACGTTTCCTTCTAATTTCCTTCTTACATGATTGTGCAAGGTGATAGATTTACTTGTGGTATGGCTGAATAATGATCTCAGAAGGTGGCGACAGTGGGAGGAAGAAAATGTGATATATTTTTATACATTGCAGTAAGGGAAGAAAAAAACACTCCACTATAAGAAAAAAATCTCCACTATACCACATTATAAAGTCAGAACTATTTATATTTTATAACTGAGTATAGAAAAAACAGATATCTTGCTCAAGAGACAGAGGTATTTGATATTATGTATGTCATTGTATTTTTTTGAAAAGATTCACACATATATACAATAGGCTAAACCACTGACTCTTATATGTTTGCAGTAATATTTTAGAATGATTTTTTTAAAATCCTGTTCCTTATATTCAAAATCTATATATATATTCAGTTTTCTTTAAAACACTTCATTCTGTATTTTATGGTAGGCTATCTAAATATTTGTGCAATTGAAAGTTTATCGTTTAATAATTCAGTTTGCTTGCAGTTTGTTACAATTGTTAAATTGTTACATTCAATGTTGTAAGACGGCTGTATGAAAGCTGCTTCATCAAGTTAAACTGCACATTGTGATGGCTTAAGAAACCTACATATTTAGTGTTCACAGTGTCTAAGGTGAATGAAAATGTTATTACAATATTGTTACAATGTTCAATTGTAAGAAGACAAAAGTGAGAAACTATTTCATATTTATATAAAATAATGAAAGTTGGAAACCACAAAAACGACTGCAATTGGAAGGTATTCAAATTAAAGGGGAACTTTGAAAACAATGAAAAAAGTAAACAGATACACTGTATAAGACTTTCATCTCACAATAGATTTTGTGTGAGTGAATGTCCAAATATATTAAAATTTAGAAATGCTTTTCTTTTAACCTATGACTCGTGCCCAAATATACTGTATATAGTTTGCCTCGAAAGTGGGTAAAGATATGTAATACCTGTTCAAGAATTGTGGGGGAAAATGCCAGCAAAAATAAATGTCTCTCAAAACATAGCTTACGGGTCAACAAAGGTTTTTTAATGGTAAGCCAATGTGGCTAAGCTTGTTGCTAAATCATCATGTCCTTTTTCTGAAGACAGTTTAGAAAAATACTGCCAAATAAATATGGAAATAAGTCACCTTCTTTGCACAGAAAAAGATATATTTAAGAATGTCTGTCTTTCCATAATAAGGGTGCATGTCTGAAAACAATTAAGAGCTGGAGAAAATGTTTTGTTCACGTTTTTGCTGCTCTAGATGAAAACACAGAGGCGACTGATATATCTCAATATTTCATTTTAATTTGCAGACTAACAGAAACATTTTAAACACATCACTTGCTTGCTTACATGTCAGACTGACTGTCCCAGATTTTTAAGTGGTGAAAGAGGAAACGTTTGCAGTGGGATAAACTGGTAGGAGTAACATCCAAAAGTACACTTGTCATGGTTGGCAAGATGAACGGCTTCATTAAATATTTAAAGAAGCACCTCAGTGAACGAGCTGCAATGCTGAAGCAGTCTCACTGCACAATACATCAGGAGGCATGGCTAAATAGCTGAAGTTTAAAGAAATTCTGCATTGTTTGTAGCACTGTAAACTTTATTTTTATGTCATCTCTGAATCACCATGGGCTTTCTTAATTTCAGGTCAAGATCAGAACCATGCTTGGCCACATTGAAGTGAGCTTACTGTACACTGCAGAATGAACTTCCTTTGGGAGAAGTGAAGATGTACGTCAATCACAGAAGACAAGATTTGCTTTCGTATTGGGTTGCAAAACCAGTCAATCTCCAACATTTCAAATGACAGGCTCAGAGATTCTGTATACTGATGATGACAATTTCTGATATGAAGAAGTTGCCCTTGTTTGAGTTAGTCTCACAAAACACATTTGGATAAAATTTTCTTGTATCTTTGGGGTACCATACAGTACATTTCAATCGCTTTGACCTTCTGGATGATTGATGCCACACTTGAAACTAGGAAGTTACTGGGTCAGGTTGATAATCTTTTACTTTTATCTCTGGACATTTCTCTGACTTACCCAATAATTACATGGTTTCGACTTTTTTCCTGTGTGTTGACTCCCTGAATACCCATTGGTAATCTAGGACACTTACAGATGTTTTTTTTCTCATGCTATGTGAAGCTACCAGATGATGCATAGTTTTTTTAAACCTGCTTCTGTTACATTGTACCAAGGGCATATTTAAATTTGAAACATACTATATAATGTGCATATACACATTCAAACTTCTACTTGCATTAAACTATAAACCACAGTATATTGTTTCTTAAGCCTTGAAATATTTAATTAGCCTGAAATATACTGAATAATTCAGGTGGGGAGCTATGTCACCATGCGTAGGCTGCAAAGGAACAAGTAATAGGTTTATTCCACGCTGAAAAGAGAAGAAAGAAAACACAACGTTTCGGCTTGTGACCCCCGAAGAAGGCTCCATAGCCAAAACGCTGTGTTTTCTTTCTTCTCTTTTTAGCATGGAATAAACCTATTACTTGTTCATGTACTAAATAATGCTGTACTTAATAAAATCAAATGAGAGCAGTACCTGGTCGGGTACACTACATGCTGTGTTCAAATGACTGCACTGGATTTCTGTTGTATTGCCAAACACTTATAAAGAAAGAGGAAGGCAGGCATTTGCCTTTAGAAGTTATACAGTGGAGACATCCATATGAAGGTGCTAATTAGAACCTTGGAGACATTTCCTTTTTAAGAGCAATCTGGAGGTATAATGTAAATGGAAGTTAATGTTAACCAGTATTGGACCAAACTGTTTATAATTATTCACCTCATTTATATGTGCTGAAAGAATAATGCCAAGTGATTCTTGCTGACTTTTATATGGCAAATGTTTGAAACATGGCTATGATACTTCAAGTGCACTAAAGACAAATGAAGAGAAAACTGCCTTTATGCACTTTTCTCTTCATGTTCTTAGAAAGAAGAAAAGGCAGATCTCTTTTTCTTAAAAGTACAACATTGAAGTTCTTATATTTATAGCAATTAATGGCACTAATTAAATTGTTTGAACTTATTCTTAACAATCCAATCACATACAGTACCATTGGGGTATTTAGGTTGACATCTCCATTTCTGTTCTGTACATTGAAAATCTATTCTGCATAGACTGTATAATAATGCATTCTGACTGTATAATACTGTATAATCTATAATTATGGTAGCAACTGACAACTTCTCTAAGTACTCTCTAGTATTTTGAGAACATTTCAGGGGAACTTTCAACTTAATATAAAAAAAAATACTTTTATAATAATAGAAAGCCACAGTAATTTATGGACATTTGTGGTACATGCATACCTCCGTCTACAAATGCAGGGTTGTTTTAAGACTAACACGGAAAACGAAATGTCTAATGCAGCTATACAGAATACAGGTTTATATTTTTTACCTCACCTTCAACTCTCCAGAGGCAACTTTGAAGACGAGCTCGATGACAGAGCCTACAGCTAACCGGGCGGCACTGGAGGAGTGAACTTCATTCCAGATTGTGTCACTGTCCACCTGCGAACACACAACACGAAAAAAAATTGTGTACATTTGATGGAGCTTTCAAATCGATTATGGAATGTGTTCAATTATGGAATGTGTTACATTTTCACAAGAACAACAAGAAGCTACAATCATTTTAAGATGCATTGTATATTAAATTAAATATTATATTAAATTAAATTAAAGTATATTAAATATATACTACAGTGTTAAATAATCAAATACTGTTTTTTACTTGAAACTAAACTATTATTTGTGTTTACTTTTGTTATTCTAGAATCAGTCCATATAAATATCTAGAAATATTTTTAAATGCTCATTATAAGGAAATATAGTGGAGAGGAAAATTATTGTTGCCTTGTGGTCTGAAGTCCACTCTTTAAAATGCCATGCTCTTCAGCTTGTGTGACACTTTCAGATATCATTTATTCACAACCAGCTTTACGAAAGCTAAAATGTTTATACTTATATTTTAGTTTCATTAACCCTGTGGATGTTTTTTTCCCCAATTATATCAACAAGCGAACTACAAAAGAGTAAAAAAAGATCAGAGAACTGTTTGAGGAACAGATTCATATTTTATGCACTGTCAGCTTTGGTCTAAAATAGCGAATAACATTTACTTAACACACAGAGAGACTGTCAGCATAATTCTACTTATTGTACTGTGGGTTTGAGAGACCTGGCAAAACACAAAACAAGACTTCATTGCTGAGCAAGCAAAGAAGAACACAACGAGAATCAAGACAACGATTCTCTGTGACCCCTGTATTGACTCCAAACAGTCAATGACATGTACATTTTATATCACAGTTGGACTGAACAACTGACTTTGTCTTTACACATGCCACTTAGTCCTCTGCACTTCAATTTGTGGTGCCTGCATTGGCTACTAACCTAAACTGAGAAAAAAGGTCTCTTGACACATCTGTGTCTGCTGCACTGCTCACTCAATAAATGTTGAAAAGATGTGTCTGGCCTTAGAAGAACACACACTGGCATTCCGGGAATTTGTTCCCAATAGTGATGGAACGAACAAGCATTTATTCTGAACATGAAGAACAAACATTTGACACGGAAACCTGGCAAAAGATCAAATTCCAACTGGGAATTCACAAAGTGGTCAAGACATAGGGCAGCCATTCATCAGGTAGTCTTTAGTCACTGCTAATTATGCTTACACACGCTTGCCCTAAAGCAAGCAGTTAGTGGTGTTGCTTTCTTACCACAGATAGACCTACAATTTTTCAAAGACAGCCACTTAACACCAAGACTCCAATATTTTCGATTTAGCCAGGGTGCAATTTAGGGCAGTGTCTAGCAGCCATAGATTTTTTTTTTCCCAAATCAGAAAAGAAATAATTAAGAAACCATTAACTTTATTATACTTTCATGAAATTGAAATTCTTGAAATTGACCCACTTGCTTGAAAGTTTTAATGCAGAATAATTTATTAAAAACAATGCAGACCTGCTATAATGCAGATCCCACTTATTTGTCTGCAAATTCATGTTTCCCCATTTTCAAAAAGTGCCTGCTTTTCAAAGATCACAAAGGGTGCTTTGGAAGTAAAGATTTATTTTATGGTTTTTACAGTATACATAGGTTTATAGTTATGTGTATTTTTTATTTTCTTTTTTCTAAATGGAAGGAGTCAACTGTACTAGGGGGACATTAGCAGCTCTTTTGGAACCTGACAATAGGTTGGACACTTTATGAGCTTTACAGTCCTCGTATAATGCAAGTCATCTTTTATTGTTGAGAAATAACCTTAATTGAAGGACACAGCAAAATAAAGAAAAAAATAAGGCAAATATTTAAAAAATCTTGTTTTTAATTCTAGTAAACGTCCAGAGTCATGGTAAGCCTAAGCCATAGAGACTTCACTCCACTCGGCATACATTTTCTGTTACAATTTATGAATTTTGCTTTCAATGGCATGACTTGCTTGAAGGCAGTGTAAAACCTCCAGTCTTTTAAAGTCTGGCCAAGAATGACTTTGCCACGAATTACGAGGCTGCGGTGCATTTACGATACAAAACTACTTGGAGAGCGCAGAGAGAGAGAATGAGCGAGGGAGAAGGCAGAGCGTGTTGGAATGAATAAATGCCGTTTATCCTCATTCTGACAGGGTAATTTTCAAAGTGTAGCCTTTGTGCAAAGAGTCAGGAAGACAACAATTTTGTTCCATTTCCATAAAAGAAGCCAGAGCCTGCTGTTTCTCACCAGCATCGCTTTGGTGCTCTTCAGAGGCAATGTAAGTCTGTGTTATATCAGTTCAATGAAAAAGCCACAAACAAAAGTCATTTTTTTAAAGACTAATGAGGCATGTTTACTGCGGATAGAATAAAGCTACAGGGTGGCAGGTGGAGGTCTGTTATTCCTTGTCACAGAAACAAGATGATTGATTTCTAATGATTGTACTTGAACCAGGCGAATGTCATTTTGTCAGCAAATGTACACTTGTGGTCCAAAAATAATATAAGTACCATTACAATTTTTAGTTTTCCCAACTAAAAGAATGGAACATTGTACTTTATGTTTCATATGATTAGAAAATGCTGATCTTCCCTGACATCATTAAAAATATATCTGGACTGACATGATTTGTCTAATTCACTGAGTTACTGTGTGTTGGCCAGTTTTAATAAAGACTTAAAATTGTATAGAGTTTCTGGGGCTAGATCTAGTACAAGATCAAAGATCAAAACCTTTTCCAAAAGCCTTAAGCTTTGGAAAACATTTTCATAAATCAATAAATAATAATAAGCTCAAGATTTATAATATTAAAATATATATGAGTTGCTTAGTGGAAACCTTCACCCAAAGTAGCTTAAAGGGACCAGAGGGACTAAAGATGAAGCATGAATGAACACCTGCTGTGAACTCCGAACAAAAGGAATTTACGTCTCACTCAAATGATAGAATTTCAGTAGATAAGATTCAGTAATGTTCTTAAGGTAACATGCAATCAGTGAAAGAGACAGGGTCTGAACCAGAAACGTCCTCATAAAAGGTTTTTAAATTACACGTCAGACTGTCTTCCACCCTGTAGCAAATAACACCTATACATATATATCATGTATCCATCAGTTTTCATTTTCTTACAATCTACAGTAAGATCTGACTTTAATTTCAGGCACATATGGCTGTCTTGGATCTTGACAGGTGTCTTGAATGTAAACCTGCAACTACTATTCTTGAAAGCTTGTCTGAAAGCTAACTACATAAAATTCAACTGCAAGACGACTTCTTTGAATTTAATATCTAAAGACTGATTCACTGCATTATCAGCCAGTTGTAGTCTATTCATAATAATTTGTGTAATATCATACTAATAATGCATGTAATATTCTGATTGCCTACTAAACTATTGTATGGAAAAGATGTGGCACACATCCAGTAAGTATTACTCCCCAACACAACTCCCCAAGACAGAAGTTCCCTCATGTTCCAGCCCCCTTTAAATACACAAACCCCCACTCCCCTTTGCACACAGTTGTTTGTAAAACACATCTGGTCACAATTACCCGCTCAGTGGAAAGCAAAGCAACAATTTTTGTTACCACTGGAATGGGGAGAACAAACAGAACATTATTTACACTTTAAAAGAAAAGACTTACTCCGATACCACCGCAGGGCAGCCTCACAAACATGGGTGTCACAGAACCTGTGGAGTTGGGAGAAGAGGGACAGAAAGTGTTAGGTTACTGGACAGGAAAGAATGAGGACAGGAGTCTTCAGAAATACTGTAGGAACAAACACTAGAAGACTTTTAGTCTTTCTAATTACCATTTCAACTAAAAATGTGACAAGAGACAAATTTACTATGACAAAGTAAAATCAGACAATCTAACTGGTCTCTAATTTTTTCATACATGAACAGATTTTTTTATGTTTCAGCCTCTTAAGGTATTTAAATGTAAATTCATTGTTTCAACATAATCTGTCAAGCCTCTTACTTGATTTTGCTCTGTGCTTTGCTTTTTGTCATCTTTTATTAACCAACAATTTTTCAGAGAGAAGCATTTCAAGCAGCTATCAATTTCAGATCTCATTAGTAATGTGAATGATGATAAAGTGAATTTGTCATTATATGAGGAATGGTGTAATCACTGCTAAAGAGAACTTAGAATGAAATAATGGAAAATTAGGTCTTTACTGGCACTAGAAAGGTGATAATCATGAAAGGCAGCTTGGGGGAAGATTCAATCACTGCTACAACTGATGAAAGTAAAATGAATCACAACAGTATTTAGTAAAATGAGACGTCTTTCAGAAATCTAGAAACACATCTCTATGTTCCTTTAGTTTTTTAGTAAATAATGTCTGTAGTACATGGTGATACATGGGAAGATTTGATTATGTAAACTGCATGGATTAAAGTAAACTCAGATGATTCCTTTAATAGTGTTACTGAATGAGGAAACTCTAGAGATAAATCCCTATAGTTGCATACAGTACATAGCAGTTTGGATATCTGCTTTGGCCTTCACTTCTTCTCAGCCTGAGTTCCTATTTCTTGTTTCAGAGACCTGGCTGATTGCAGGCAGGTCAGATTGAAGCATATGAGGAGAGTCTTGCACTGCAATTAGTGAGTTCTTACTGTCCAATTTCTGCCTGAGTGGGTTTGTTCCATAGAGCAGGACGTGGGCTTCTGAGTGGACTGTCTGCAGCTCTTCCAGAGTGGCTTTCCTTCCACGGATACACTGCGTAACCCAAGACAAGAAAGCAGTCAGCGAGTTGACACTTTGCCATTTGTATTCATTTGTAAATTGGATTTCACCAGCTGTTGGCACTGGGTTAATGGTTATTTCCTGAACCACTTGTCTCACAGCCTTGACTTGCACCCTCTTCTTGAGAGAGTTGCCACTATACCATTTATCCATCTATTTTTCTAACTGTTTCTTCCAATTCAAGGTATTGGGGGAGCCAGAGCCTATCCCTGCAAGCAACACAAGGCAGGGTACGCCCTGGAAGGGACACCAGTCCGCCGCAGGGCAGACAGACATGAGCACAGACGTGGAAATACTCACAAACGAGCCAATTTTCCCAGAAGCTAAATAACCTACCAGCATATTTTTGGACTGTGAGAAGAAACAGGATCCCCTGGAGGAAACCTGCTTGAACATGGGGAGCACATACTAACTCAGATAGTACCCCAGGTCAAGGACTGAACCCAGGGCACAAGCCCTGCAAGGTAGCAATGCTGACCACGACACCACCACCACTATACTGTACTTTAGAATGGAATAAACCTATTATGTACATATAGCCTTAAATGTCTTAATAATAGAAGCTCCAGTGGAAAGTGTAGGTTAATGTCTATTCTTTTATAGTCATCACCCAAACTATGGAGGTCAACCATTATTTGCATGTAATTGTTGGAGAGCTCTCTGACCTTAAACACGATAAAGCATGCTACTACAAAATGTCTTCAGTGTGCTACATTTTATACCCTAGGGAAACAGGAAAGCTTTAGAGACCTTTATATAATAACGGAGGCTTCCATTGCACGTTCTAAGAGCAGAATGTTATTGTAGAATTTTTTGTTGGATTAAATTTAAAGGAATACTTAGAAGTGCGAACAAATGTGAACCTTGTATTTTCTGGAATTCAATTATTAATGGCAAACATGACTTGGCCTTGGAGAATTTTATTACAATCACAGCATAACATTTTTAGAGACGTTTTAAGAAGAACACACCCAATCTGTAAATCAGTTTATGTTTTTTCCGCCTATTTCATTTGGGGTATGAATAAATCTGGGGGGAGATTTAAATATATAAATACATGTTGCAGGTTCTAAGTAATCTGCAAAAAAAAACACCGCTCTTTCATTCTAACACTGGTGAAGCCCTCAGCCCAAAGTCACTGACTGGGAAAATTCTTTAAATTTTTGCAAGAGGTGTTGCATTACAAGTTTGCACCACAAATCAAAATGTTACCCAAAGGAAACTGGACTCTTTCCATAAAAAGTTATTTTTCCTCTTTTGTCATTTTATGCAGTGGCATGTTTCCAACATAAACTAGCCTTTTACTAACAATAGAGGTGTTCTGGTCACAAAGGATAGATGTGAACATGGCTAAAGTCTGTTATGGTAAGAAGAAAGGTTACACCTGCAAAATGCAGCACTAAATCTCAAATTTAATAGCAGGAGAAGTAAAACCTGTCAGAAAGTGAGCATGTTACCAGAAAATATACGATGACAGCTAGTTAAAATAAAGATTCTGTTTTAAGCAGCCCCTGTGCAACAGATTAAGAGTAATGCCTGCCTTTAATTGAGCCATGTTTGAGAGGTTTCTCTTGTAGAATAATAAACAGATCCATCATGACTGAACTTTGTCTTGACATTGAAACTCATTGGAGTGGATATAGTGCAAAGTATAAAACACTGCAGTTATAAAATGAGCTAATTTCTTTAGGAGAATCTAGAAAATAATATGCTAGACTTGTAGTCTATAAATCAATGCTAGAAAACTGTATTCTGTTAATATTTTTCAGTTTGTTATAATAAACAACTTAACTGCACTAAGTTAAATAATTTAAAATTATTAAGATACCTTTCTCTACCTGACACTGGACACAACCTAAAATTCAATTTCAGAAACTATTCCCTTAATTTAGAAAAATGCCGAACATCAGAAGTGAAGTTCAGCCACACTTCCTAAGTTGTCTAGTCTAAAGCATATTATACTTCTTTTCCAAAATCAATTTCTAAATTGGCAAATTTCATTCTTCTACAAGAAGTCCATTTTTCAATAGTCAACCCGTAACTGTCCCACGAATATCCTAGAAAAAACATTTAGTTTCAGACATTTAATCAATATGTGGACTATAAGACTATTGAGTGGTTTAATGCTGCCCTCTGCTGTTGAAACAAACTACTGTAGTTAAATGGAAGTTATAAGAAATCGATGGACAGATATCACTTTGAATACGAAAAGAGTTTTTGAATACACAAAGACTGCTTAATTATACAGTATATATACAATCTGAACTACCTTCAAAAGTGTTTTTAATTTTTTCTTCACTCACTTAAAAAAGAAATTGCCATCTTCATATGGCAATTAATTTCATTGATGTGTTCAGTTCAAACTTAATGAAGCCATGTCTTCTTTTACATGTGATTTGCATGTTCAATTACCGGAGCTGTTGCGTGTGGTCAGTAGGTTTATGAAAGCACAGGAGATGAGGCATGGCTACCCAGAAGGGCTGTAAAAGGCTCTGTGGTTTTACCTCACACTTCCCGCGCAGGCCGGTCTCCTGCAGACGGGACCAGATGCTCTGGATGCGGCCGGCGTGCTCCGGGTGTGTGTTGGTATTGCCACACATGCACTGGTGCTTCTGCATCAGGCTGTCATACACCAGGCCTGCGGGACATGCGCAGAGAGTCACATCAACTGACCTCCAAGCATGGAAGGACACCTGAAACCTTTTAATCAGAATGTGCCTTTCATGGCAATCGCCAAACAACAATAAATATATATTAGTCACTGCCAGTTTTCATGACAAAATGCTAAATGTAATAGCAGAAACAAATCAAATATCTGCCAATTTTTCTAATTCCTAGTCTGAGGAAACTATGAGCTATCGCAGCCGGAAGCGTATCTCTGTACGTCTAGTTCAACTCTCCTACAAGTTTTTCTTTTGAGCTTTCATCAGTATGCACAGCATGCTGAGTGAGTGCAAGATACAGAAGTGCATTCAAGGACAATTGATTAGCCCTCCAAGTGAGAACACATCAATCACAGTTAAAAAGGGCTAACTTGGAATGCAATTTCATGGCTATAAAAAAGCCAAGAGGAGCTTTAAGCAGCTTGATTCTCCAACTTTAAAGCTGTCTTTAGTCACATGACAAAGAAATGGCATGATAATGCACATTAGGCTACCTGCAAAAAAGATTCTATACAAGTTGCAATTGCAGCAAAACTGCAAAAATTAACTGCATCATTGCAAATGAAACATACTGGAAATTACTGCAGACAATTCATATATGATATGTGTATCATGATAATAGCGTAAATTATTTAGGATGTTTCATAAGGGGTTTTTGAACTCTTACTGTACATAAGAAATTTATAAAATAATCAAAATTGTAACACATTTTACAATTATGCATTTTTGTGGCATCTCGTACGTGATTTTAATTTTAATATTTCTCACTACTTCCGAATTCTATTACATTGGTGTTATATTATTTCAAAATCTTCTTGTGCATTTCCCAAGGTGAAAGATATTTTAGGTTATCTTGCCAAGGTTAAAGGCACGCACGCACGCACACACAGATCAACACGGTCTTGCACTCTGACCAGTGGTGAAGCGTGGTTTGGTGGGGGGTTCCTGGACGGTGATAGGGAAGGTGGCAGAAGCGGGGGATGATTGTGCTCTGGACAGGGGGCGATGGCCTCCGAAGTTCACAGACAGCCCGGCAGCTTCCAGTGAGGCCTGGTAGTTCCTCAGCTGGTGGATCCTCTGCTGCTCTAGTAAGAGGGCTTGCTGCTCAAAACAAGACAAAAATTTACAAGGACACACGGTCAACAACATTATACAAATAACACTTAAAAAACTAGCGTTAATGTATATCTACTGTATATCCTATGTTGACATGAGTTTTTCTCATCTTAAGCATGTATGTTTCTTATTTGTTATGGGTGTATGTTGTGTTAAATGTATTATATGTAACGACTTTTCCCTGCCTGCAAAGCAAATTATCATCTGGGACGATAAAGGAATTAAGTGAGAAATGCTTGTTACACTTGATAGCTAACAACTTTGTACAATATTAGTCTCAGTGACAGCGACATGTACCTTTAAATAGTACTGAAATGAAAAACTAAAAAAAATACAGTATTAGATTTACATTCTTATGAAAATATGTAGGCCTTGAAACAGAATAATGTAGACCCAATGGATAAAAGATAATTATGTGTAGTGGTGAAATTAAGGTACACCTTGAGACTCAAAGGGAAATAAAAAGCATTATAAATAAAAGATGAATTTGTTTCAAACGTTATGGTTTTGAATTTCAGCTCAAGGCTATGGATTAGTTTCAATTACTACAATATACAGTACACAACCTCATACTGTATATACAGTATGTTATTTTCAATTTATATTAGAAGACATCACTTTTGCACATTGAAATCAAACTGAATCCTGGAAACCTATTTTTTACCATTTCCATTGTACTGTATTTAAAGCTCTAAAATGACCATATTCTACCCTTTTGTATTAAGTGCATATGCTCTTAAACTTAAAAAGGTTAACATATTTTACCTGTAAAGTAATAAACATGTACACACATACAGTACATCTATACAGAGACATTTCTAAATTACTACTGGGTATGTGCAGTACTATAACACCTTACAAATGCATGAATGAATGAGAGAGTAAATGTGTGAAGTGTCATGTTACCTTCCGCAAAGTGCAACATGTCCCCCTAGTCCATATTAAAGTCTCCCAGGGTGCTATTTCAGAGGTTGAGTCTTTTTTTCCCAGTTTGGGAATAAACAGCAAACAGTGACTCCCTGAGAGAGTTTATTTAACATGGACACAATTTAACGAGGCAAAGCAATTCTGAAAAACATGTTTCGAGAACCCAACACAGGGCAGGCACCAGGAAAACTACCTCTGTTAACAAAACCACTGGGGACTTCATTTAACACCAAATGATGCGGTGCAGTTTCAAGAGTTATAATTGCTTAAAACAGCCAAAGGGGGCTTTGAAAGCATTGTTGAGCTTTGCTCTCTCTGAGAGAGCGAGGAGTGGGAGGGTGTTGAAGGGGTCAGAAAATAATAATGAAGAAAAAAAAGAGCTCAAGAAGCCTATATATCTTACACTTCAACTTGGCTAGATGTTCTAAAAAGTGCGTAAAACTGCTGTGGCCTAAAGCTCTGTCTCTGTCAAACTGTATTCAGATTTGAAACTCATCTGGGTATATAAGTTTTATGCTGCCCCCTGGTGAACACAGAACATATTAAATTTATGTGTGGTATGTGTGGGTGTGTGGGTTATAAGCCATTCAGAAAAACTTGAAAAGTGCTTCTAAAACTTTTTTTTTTACTGCTCTTCATTTTAGCCAGTTACTGCAAGAAAATGCAGTGCTTATATAAATAAGAAGGCATCATATTAACAGAACAGGACGGCATGTCTCATTAAGCACAAGTTTCTATAGTTTTGTTCTTTTTTGGTATGTCTGTCATTCTATCATAATTGATGCTCACAGACACTAGACTTCTTTTAATTTCTTCTCCACTTGAAAGATGCTCTGGATTGTGACCTTTGTTTCTTGTGGTATTTTATTTGTTTCAATACACTGCCAAGACAAAAGTTAATCAACAGCTGGAGAACATGCAGATGGTTCTCAGTATATACAGTACTGTATATTGAATATCGGTAGTGCTTTATGTTGAAAACAGAGGCCAGAACCATCATTTTAGCCCTATTTCCTTGCACTGCTAGGGCCTTGAACATTATGTTTCCTTTTCCATTAAATTAGTTATCTGTTTTCTTGAATCAAGAACCTCACAAAATGCCCAGGACTGCTAAATTGTACACTTCCGTGGAAATTTTAAAATAGTGGCATTAACAACAAAAGAATGGTTGAACTAAATTGTTTTGAAACACAAGTGCCCCGCCAGTCCTTGTACCCACCTGCCTGAAGAGGAGCTCCTGCTCGGCCTGCCTCTTGCGATGCTCCAGCTCCTCCTGCTGCTGCTCCTCCTCCTCATTCTCCAGAGGCTCTTGCTTGACCCGTACTCCATGTGGCAAGCCATCCTTCACCTCGCTGGCCCCACACGCCTGGTCAGGCAGGGCCTGGTGCTCCCTCAGCTCCTCCTCTGTCTCCTCAGGGTGGCTCTCGTGCTGCCTACTTGGCTCACTCGGCTTTGTGATCATCTGAGCGAGGGTAGCGATGAAATGTTTTTCAAACACATTTTCTTTTTTCACTTCCCAAAAGACGTTAAACACAAAAGCAGCAGTACAGCTTCTTAAACATAGAGAAGGCCTGGAATAATGAAACATTTATGGCACTGGACGTTCAGCCTTTTGGGGGTCACAGCCTGCTCTTGATTTTTTTTCATTCCATTTCACATCTTAATTGCCTAGTAGGATTGAATATTTAGTTAGAACATCACATTACCTGTCCTAATAATGCATAAAAATGAAAATAAAAAAGTCCAGCCAGAGATGTCCATTCCTGGTTTATAATACACTGCATAGTAATACAGACATTTAAAAATATTTAAAACCCCCCCAAAAAAAGACTACCACCAGAAGGATTCAAGACTACACATGAACTGTTCTTCCAGGATCCACTGAGGACTCACCATAACGTGGCTAATCAGACTAAAGTGTGCAACACACTTAGAAGTCACATGTTTTATCAAAACTTCCATCTTCATGAAAATCCTAATATTTTGCCACACATTACATCTATTTAGCATGTCCTGACAAATACCTAAAGATAGCACTAATCTTGTAAATACTGTGAAGGAAATTATTAAGACATTATAAGGAAAAACTAATTTTTGCCTGCTTAACTTGAAGAAAGTTCTTGATTATCAAGCCAATTTTTAAAAGCTTTAAAACTACCATTTATAATGCAACAGTAGTTTATTTAAGGTACTTTATTTATTTGCACAGCAGCAGTTCTAGGATGAAATGTTTGTTGAGTAGTTACATTAATAACAATGCTGAGTGCCTATTGTATAATATTTCAACACCTACACCTACAGGTAGCACGGACCAAGGGTAAAGCTAATTTCTAATCTTAAACATTAGACAGCGGCATTGTAATTAAAAAGAGATAGGTGGCTCTATTTGTCTCACAATATACAGATGGTTCAAGGTGTATTCAGTGGTAGTTCAATGTGTACACTTCATTGCATTTGGCTCAAGAGCTCTTAGCAACTGGGCCAATGGAAGAAACGAAACGATAGTGAAATGATAGTGCTAGTAATACCTGTTACTGCTGTACCTGAAATTTAATGCATCATACCGTATGTTAGAGATGCACAGAGCACTTCAATGCTCCCTGAAGTGGCACAGCATACATTATATTAAAAGAAATAATGATTAAGCTTTCATCCTTTTAATGAAAGCTTACGTCTACACAATTTCTAAATAGTTTTCCAACTACAGTATGCAATTTTACACATTTTTAGACATTTATGAACTTTGCTTCTTAGAGGCACTCAGATGGAGCCACTTTTAGTAATACGGATGTGATGGGGAGGCTGCAGAGCAATATGGAATTGGACAGTAATGACTACAACGACATTCAAACCAGCAAAAATCCCTGAAACTGCTAGTAAATTACATATCCTTGGAAATATCTCTTGTAAATGTCATGCCATGTTCACATTATGCATTTAGAAAGCTCTTTCTAAGAGGACGAACTCTAAAAAAGATTATAATTCTTTCTAGAAAAAGGGGTCCACTTTGTGCTCTCATGCTCAAAATAATTCTGACCCTGCTACTGCCAGAGGTAGAAGAAAAAGGAGGGTATAAGATGCAAAAAATCTGTTTTGCATGTCACACGTAAATAGCTCCAAGAAAAACAGATAAAAATGCCAACAATGATCTCTTATGGCAGTATTAATATTCCTAAAATACACATATGTTCTCACTAGTGGGGTTTCATTTCTACAAAGCTTCATTCATGGGGGAAAAAGTCAGTTGATTTTAAGAGTCAGTATGCATGCCAGCTTCATCTGAGCTGAGGGAATTGTCTTTTAGAATCTACAAAACAAAATGTACATTTGTCAAATTATGAAGTGAAACAGTAATTGAGGACGAAATAACACAGAAAACAAAACAGCAAAGTATCCAAGTGACCCCCAAATTTCAAGCTGCTCTGCTCTAAGCACATTCTGAAATCACAGTGTACAGTACAGTCTCCACAGCAACGACTGCCTCACACCACATCAAATACGCACGCTTGAACAGAGTCCAGGCCTGGCAGTTGTTTCAGCCCATGGCAGCTGGCCAGAGGAACATCATTGACGTCAGAGCTCTCAGCAATTGCCTCATCCTTGTCCCCTTCCACAAACAAGCTTTTCTCTTTTCATTTTCTTTTTTTTCCCCTCATTTAAAGGAAACTCTTCCCATGGCACTTGAGCTCAGGGAGTTTAACTTGCACTTCTTGCGGATTACTTTATAAAGCTTCTCTACATTTTTTACATGGAAAAAAGCAACTAAAAAATGTTACTATAAACAAATGCATATACAGTATGAAGAGGAATCCCAGTTGGGAGTTGCAGCTCCTCTAACCATAAATAGTTGAAGTGATTTAATTATATTGAATATACGGTAGATGTCCACTACTGTACTACAGTATAATCAAAGAAATTACCAACCTAATTTATATACAGTAGCATACATACTGCAGTTCCTCTTCACTAAATCTGGATGATAATTCATCAGAGGAATAATTCTGCTGCAAAAAATATTAAGTATCTACATATACTGTGGACAGTACTTATAATTAATAACATACTTCCAATTTTATTTATTTTGCTTTAAGATGGCATATATAAATATGAAACCAAATTAAGCATTGCATGTCATTAAAATATTTAATATAGTTCTTTTTTTAAATAATACAAAAGTCAACTGAATGCTGCCATAACTATCTGGTTGTGTAATACTGTATGATGGGTAACTTCAACAACACATTTTAAAGTTATCATTTTTGACAAGTTATGCCCTGGGTAAATTATAACTCTGCCTAAACAACTGATGAAAGTTGTGTCTTTGCTTAGCTTACATGAACAAAATGACACAAAAAGCCTAGAAATTGATAAGTACATGTTTTTTTCAGAAATTGGCATAAAAACTGACTTAATGGTAGCCTGGCAAGGATGTCCTTGGTGTATTAACAAGACAGACAACATATTTTATTACTCAGAATTGTAAAACTCAAATAGAATGCGGACAGCCATACTCTTGAATATTTTTTTCTAATGATATTAAAAATTAATAATCTTTCTGTCATGAAAGGGATTAAATACACTTTTATTAGTCTTTATCCTTAAGTCAGAGAGGGGAAGAACTGAATAAACATCAAACAAACCAAAATAAAATAATAAGATGAAGCCCCACCGTGCTAAATCCTGGCAACATTATGGTGTGATCAGATTATGGAAACTTATCCAGGGAAGAGACTCTCAAAAACACACGTCCCAAACGGAAGGTGCCCTTTCGTTGCCATGGCGACTGAAGGACCCACCTTGTTGATATGGAGTTGCTGCTGCTGGAACTGTTGTTTGTGTTTCTCCAGGAACTGCTGATGCTGCTGCTGGATTACGAGCTGCTGCAGGGCCTGGGCGTTCTGGGGCAGGGGGGCAGACTGTGTGCGGCCTAGAGGGCGGTGCTGCCTCAGCTTGTGGATGGTGGGTGACACCCTCTCGCCCCCAGCAGCTGAGGCCCCGACAAGTGACTGAGCGTGGAGGGGCAAGGCGCCCAGGCCTGAAACATACCAGTCTAGAGGTAATGTGACAGCAAGCAAGTGGGAGGAGAGCAACAAAACAGAAGCAGCAAAAGCAACCAGAGAGGAAAAAAAAGACAGAAAATGTAAAATAAAAATTCAGTGTTAGCATTAGGGTCTTTTCAGTATTATTCTGTCAAAACAGATTATTTAAAGACCTTTTAGGTGTGTAAACATCATATTACTGCTACTGGACCTGTAAAATCAGTGTGTAAAACAGGAAAATAGTGAAAATTTAAGGCCCCAAAACACCTAAAAATAATAAATCAATACATACTTAAAAATCATTACTGTGTTTTCATAATTGGTTGACTTATTCATTTTCACTCTAGTGTAATTCCATGTTCTGAAGAGGAGTTGTGAATGATTTATATTCGAGTGAGTCACTCTACAGACAGTTTCTGGCATGCCTTAAGAAGACAAGAGAGCTTTGGTTAATAACACAACCCTTCAGCCCTTAAACTGCATCTGAAAAACGTAGGTGTGCCCATCAAATAATATTTTGAAAACTGCATGTCTGAAGTTGGAAAAATATGTAAGGAAACTGTGATATGTAAAAAAAAGACAAACTTGACCGATATCAGGTAAGATCTGTTTTTTTTTGTTAGATGTCCAGTTGACTTTAATGTCTGCTGTGGTCTAGTGAAAAATATTTTTTAACTTTTCACTTAGGACAAACCTTGAGTTATGCTCCTTTCATAATCACTTGGTAAAGCATTTGGTCAGGGATTTGCTTGAATACAATTGACTTAGAAAAAAAAAACAGAGACATCATGGAAAAAGAGTTAAAGAGTTTTGATCTATCTGATTTACTTTAGATGCTTGATATCCCAAAAGGGTTCCCCCCTACATATGACATCAGCCAGGATTTATGCTTATGTAAGATTAAATCCTAGACATAAGCTTGAATATATATTCTTCCATTTCATCTGCTTTTTTAAATGGGGTTTGCATTCTTCCAATCTTTTTCCTGCAAATCCCTGATTCATATTTTAGTATCCCATAACATCTGCCACAGGAAAGACTGATAATGATTTGCTGACAACTGGAGATCTACAGAAAATAAACTATACATATATTCGTGCATGTGTATGTAGGTGCACTCAGTGAGACAACTGTATGCAAACACAGGTGCTTACCACTAAGGTCATAACTAAAGGACACTAGGAAAATGCTTGTAAATTTAGTTCTCTCGTGATTTGTAAACATCCACTGAGGAAAGCGCAGTGTCATGTTACTGCCTGATTTGTAACCTGTCTGACAAACCAAAAAACAAGGGACAGAATATTACTTACCAGTAACCAAGGGGTTCTGTGCTGCAGACTGCTCCAACAAAACCATGTGCTGTATAAGGGGGTTGTGTGTGGTGCCCCCATCCCTGTCTAGTGGAGAAGCGCTCAGGTATGATGGCAAATGCGCACTGGGGATGAAGGGAGTGGTTATAGGCAAGCCCTGCTGGAGAGCTGGAACGGCCAATCTGTCGCCTTCCTGCTGGCCAGTGGCCACCTATACAGACAAGAAGAAAAGCTTCAGAGTCAGTATAGTGAAAAGATATCTAAAAGGCAAGGTTTTCATAACCATAAAGACTATAAAATTTTATGACAACATCAATGGGTTGTACTTGGGACCCTAGCCCCCCACATCTAGGTACTGAAAACAATGAATTTGGATGAGGTTTTGACATTAAATTGTTTCTGAAACTTCTTGTCATAAAAGAAACATTTTAGATTTAAACTTTTTGTACTGAATCTGGAGTCACTATAGTTTGTTTTTTTTCCTGAGAAAAGTTTTCTTAACAAAAGCAGTAAAGTCTGAATCTAATCCAGTCAGAAACTTAGAAAACGCTGCCCCTGAGGAAGGTTAACCTTCCTTGCATGGGCGAAGAGATCTGACCATAAATTTATCAAATAAAGTAAACTATGGATGAGCATTAATTGTTCCAGTCAGCAGCTACATTAGAACTAACATTATTTGTATTCTGAGTATATGAGAATAAAATGCTACAGTATATGTTACTTACACTAGATGGCCCAGTGGCTGGCAATCCTAATGTGATATTGGGTAGAGAAGGTGATGTGTACAGAGACAGCTGATTCACTGATCCTTCCCGATTCACAAGTCTGTGAGCTAAGGATGGCTGGAGCAGAAGACCAAGAAGCTTAGAGACACAAGGGGATAACTGTACATGTAAGTGATTAGAAAACAAACATGTTCATTTGGCGATCCTAAGGGCTGGACAGGAGTCAGACAATTACTTTGATCCCTTGAAAGTAAAGTTCCCTGCTGTGTGGAGTACTAGAAAAGCTCTTAAACTACCGGGCTGCAAAAACAATTAACAACAATAATATTTGTACAGTATCAGTAGTATACAATGCAAATACCTTAACTACAGCTAAAAAGCTAAATAATTCATATGATGTCTGAAATGCTTTTTTTATTTCTCTTGTGAACCAAAAAACAGTTTTTGGTAACTACAATCATCCTAATTAAATGTACCTGTTATTCCTGTTTATATCAAAGATGCAGGTTAGTTTAAAACACTGCGGTTAAAACTATTATCAACGAAGCACCATGGAGGTCAGAAAGCAAGAGGATCTCTGATAGGGATCATTTACACTGAATACACCCTACACTCTAGCTCCTTTGATAGCTTGATGATTAACTAGTTAAAAAAATACAGAGTATAACTCAGGAGTGAGGTCAAGAACGTGTGTACTTAAATGTGCCTGCCTGCATTACAATTTCATTTTCTTAGGTGTAGATCAAAGTTGATATTGGTTGAACAGTACATAATGGTTGATGAGAAAAGGATACAGTGTTGTGAGACAAACCAGCAAGGGTGTTTATGTATCCAGTCTTTTATTACTAAATGTGAGCTGATAATTCACACTTCAATGTGCAAGAAATTCTCTTGCTCTTTTTATGGTTAACTTTTTTTTTTCTGAAGTGTTACTCAAATATGGATATTTTTTAAATTTTGCCTCAAGTGATTTCTAATCTTACAGAACGCAGAATAACAATCTGAAGACATTGTTTGAAAAACATTCATCTTTATTAAACTGCATTAAAAGTGTTTGCTGCAATAATTGTAGCGTTACACCGCTGCGCTATAAATTATTTATAAAGGAATATTCTCACAACAGTGACCTTTTTATATTATTATTTGTTGTATACAGTATATTGCTTCCTTCAAACAGAAAATGAGCAGGAAATGTCTCTCCCAAAACGGCCCCATCTGGGGCTGTTTAGCCAGATTGGGTATGGGACACATATAATGTCCAGTCCGGGATATAGCTGAGGTGCTCCTGTGCCACACTGGAAACACCCTCTAGTTAGACTTCAGCCAGACTACCTAACAAAACTGTAGCTATATCCCAGCAAGGCAGTGAGATCAGGCTACAACATGCAAAATGGTATTACACTGTACTTGTAGACGTGCTATATGAATGACTAAACAAATTAAAAATACTAAAAACATTATTTGGGACTTCTCTTTCGGTAAATGCCTCGGTGCATGCATTTGATAATGAATTTGATCAAGGTTCAGACATCCTTATTTCAAACTTAGGCTACGCCACTAGCAGAATGTTTCCAAGTAGGGGTGTACTGTAAAACTGATGGAGAGCTAACATGGGCTTCAGTTTGTCTAGGTATCCACAGTTTGTCAATCTACAGAGAGTTCCCTTAACCTGCTGGGTCTTGAGAACTGTTCACTAGTATTTCTAGTGAGAAATGTCTCAATGCTTTCTTTTCTGTATAATTCCCTTAGTTAAAATGACAGATGACTCCAACAGTGTCCTCTTTGGAGGAAATCAAATTCCTCCATCTCTCCTTTTCCACATGGTACAGGGGTCATAGGGCCAAGCAGAGTTATTGAAAAACCAGCAAGTACCCATTTGACGTGCAAGAGAAAAAATAGTAGCTGATCCTAAATTAAAAGAAACACCTTAAACAACCACCCTGAAGTACAATTTAATGTGCTGAAATAATATTGCCATTATTGCAATATTACACCAGCTCTTTTCAGTTTTGTCATGTTCACTCATGAGCAGATTAATACACCCACTACAGAGCTCAAAGCTTATTGAATCAGCACTGTGTCTGGTGATTATCAAGATCATTCACTATTCAGATCAAATCTGCTGCTTGGCTGTGGCTTTGTTTTCTTATCTATGATACTGGTGGATGGGTACCTCAGCTGGGCTGCTGGACACAGATCCCGCAATCCCATTCTCTGTAGTGATGTTGTTGGAGCTGTTATTAGGAGAGCTTGGTCCAGAACCAGGAGCACTGTTGCATGCAGATTCTACAAAAAACATGTTGAAGTGAAAATCTATCACAAACTGGAGAAGCAAATGTTGAATACTATGAATTTTGATATGCATAAGGGTAGCATCTCAAGAAATACTGCAATATAAGATAGGATCACTTTATTAGCCAAATGCAATTTATTGTATTAGGAATTTGTCTTTTCGCATACCCCAACTTGCTCTCCATGAGACACACGGACAGGGAGAGAAGCTTGGGGTCAGAGGGCAGCCACAGGCACAGATCCTTAGCCAGAGAGCCACTGCACCGCCCTAAAGAGCAGCTCCCTGTCAGGGAATCAAACCCCGATCTCCCGCGTGAGAGGTGAGGATATCACCACTATACTAACAAGGAAGACATATGTTTTATGGATCATGGAAATGTCGCTTCACCCACCCGTCTTCCACTTTTACATTCTAGATTTAGACAGTGACATGTTGAGAACGTCCACATTAATTAATAGTTTTATTGAGTTTTTTCAGTCATCTTTATGAGCACTTCCACAGCTTGTTACCATATCACGCTAATGAGATATGCTTAATGTGGAAAATGTAAAAGAAATAATCCAAGAAATATTTTTGGGAGAGAGGCAGAAGCCATCAAATCTGAACCATAATTGGACCCTCATCGCAAAAAGTCCAGCACTTGCATATTCCTAAAACTTTACAATAATAAGCAATTTAAATAATGTTTTCCCCAATATTTAATTCATGATTTACTGCACTCTGGAAACAGTTTTTGGCCAGCTTGATGGATTTCAAGCTTCAATTAACTTACAAGGGTCAGCTTTGTTCAAAGAACCCAGTTACTCAATAGCAATCATTTATGAACCAACACATTTCCTAGCATATTAATATGCATTAAACATCCATGCGTAGGTACATTCCACATTTACTATAATTGGTCTCACTTTATTGCAAATGGATATATTCAGGACTCATTTTTCAGAATGGCTCATTTATGCAAAACTTGCCTTAATTACACAAGCGATATGAATGTGAGCACATGAATTTAAATAAAGTACCAAGTACCAAATAGTTAAAGACCTTTACCTGCAACATCCAGGGGACGCTTTTTTGCAGTGGTGACGGGGCCATCTTTTCTTCGTAACAGAGGACTGCTCCTCCTTTCGGTTACTTTCTGCTTTAGTCGGGATCGCAGCTTCAGGTTTGGTTCAGATGCTACAAGAAAAAAATACAAAGCAGAACATGCTCTACTATTATTTATTAAGAAACAACAACACACAAAACAGTTACATTAGCAAGTAACCAGGAAAAAAGTCATGGCATCGTAGAAAAAGCATAAGTTATAAACAAATAAACATCTGAACACAGTTATAATTTATCTCTGCTTCCCTAATTAAACCACTTTATATTAAACACTAAATTTCTTTATTAGCAGCTATTTGAACAGACAACTTCTTGTACGTGTATGCTTTTACGAATTAACATGTGTACTGCATACATTAAAATTGCAGACAATATACAGGGCTCCCAAGTAACTAAGCCAGTAAAGTTAAATGTCCCTGATGTACAGTATAGAACTTTGAGCCTGGGTAACGTCACAAGCCAATTGTGTCTGTGATTCTCGAACCTGTGCCACACAACTGTATAAGCACTATGAGTAGTAGAGATGGTATTAGTCAGCTTGGGTGCCTTCAGTTGCAGTAGCAATAGTGACTTCTGTAACTGAGCTGGAGTGAATCCAAAAGGCATTAACCCTCCTGACTGAAATAAGTGGTGGGGTCTTTTGCTGTGAGCCCCACATGTTAAATGAAAAATAGATTTATAGGTGGGCATGTCAGAAGCATGTCTACACATCTCATTCTTTCTGTTTTTATGTAGTGGAGTCATTGTTGGAACAGCATTGTTGAGGTCTTAAATCACACAGGGAGTTCAAATTGGGTTGCTATATATAAAGAATAACTGCTGAGAATATTCAGTATGTACTATATATTTCAAAGGAGTAGAAGTTACTTTTATAAGAAAAATAACAGGATTTAGTAAAATACAATCACATGAAAAAGAGACTCTTTGATGGCCCTTAACTTATTCTCCTTTTTAAAATGGTATATATTTCCCCTTTAGAATCTGTCCCTGGTGCTTCTTTTTAAGTTTTCAGGGATACAAAAGAAATACAACAGGATCACATGGTGTATATTCACAGGAAAGTCCAGAGTAAAAAGAAAGGAAAATATGCACACACAAAAACAGTCCTTATGTGTACCCATCTTTGCCAAACAGGAAAGAAAACGAACAGGTTCAAATAGCGAAAAAACAGCAAACTGCACAACTTGTTATTAAAATAACACACTGTTCATATGTTCAGGAAACAAACATGTTCCAAGCTAGCTTAGATGACTTTTAATAATAGCTCTCTTTCTTCAGAACTAAATGAGTTTAGATCTCATTCTGTTGAAAAACCAGAAATATGAATCCCTCTGTCAGAGCAGTGAAGTTCATTAAGTACTACATTACTCCCTAAATAGTTTCTAAAAAATCAATGTTTTATTGTATCACCTACTTCTGAAACTCCTGAATACGGGCTGTAATTATTCTACTGCAATCCTAAAATGTTGCCCTTGACAGTTTGCATGCTTTTCTGATAGTACTGAATATAAAGCAGCAGGGGAAATTGATATTTCCAGGATATGGTGAAAGAAAAGCTCAGGTGTGTGGTGTACCAGAGAAAATGCTTTAGGGATGACTGTAGAGTTCATAGTAACTCCTTTTGGTAGTTTTTAATGTTTATGGGAATAGCTTTTGTTCTTCTTGGTAAACTCTGTAACTCTGTAAACTTTTCCGAAAAAGGTTATTTAACAACATTGATTTCCTTGCCAGCATACCAGCATAGCATAGCATAGCCCCCCAGTACTTCACCATCAAAAAGAAACAACTTACAAAATAAATACAAAAAAATACAGGATGCCACACCTCATCTTGTATGGAAAAAACAAAAGTAACAGAAAATGACAAGCCCAATCAGATGAGTGGTGCTGGCCATTTTTTCTTTAGCAGTCACAAATACACTGGCAGTATTATTCTAGATGGAGAATGGCGCCATCGCCTCACTAGTCGACCAACTGATGCCTTGACCACAAATTGACCCCTACTTAGCACATCGCTTTCCGGACTGAAATACAGTACATGAATACCAAGCAAACACATCTTCATTAGCACATTACAACATGTACATGGTGAGGACACTGGGACTTTCTCTGCCATTAAGCGCACTCAATAGTTGTTTAGAAAAGAACTGATAGCGTTACGGTTACACTAAGCATCTACCCACTTCCACAATCATCCAAAATGTATGTAATTGTGCTGTATTGCTTTCTTCCAAATGGTCCACAATGATAAATTTGCCATATTAAAGCATTAGTGATAGTAAAATTCCCTCACAGACTTTCAAGAAAGTTTTTTTCAGACTGATTACAGGCAAACTTAGAACCTTATCTAGAACCACAGCTGAATGTGGAAAAGATGAACAATTTCCCCATAAATAAAAGGGATATCTGGTTAACCAGACAGTCCTTTTTTGTATTTTTATTATTTTATATCTAAATAAGAAATTCTCAACAATGGTTTCCAGCTGAAATGTTCATACCATAACATGACATCTAATTCTCTGGGGTTTATGTATTATCTCTTAAGCAAAAACCAACCAATTCTCTTCCATAGATACTGTGCAAAATCATGTTAACAAAGATAACTACAAGAAAACAGTATTATCTATATCTCCTTCTTTTGGATAGGGCACAGTTTTAAGAACATTTCAAATTTCTTATAAAGAAATTAAAAGTGCTCTGTATCTGACTGAAAATGAAAATGTTTTTCACCAGATTTTGTTTGATAGTTCAATATTCTACAAAAGTTCTTAAAAAGCTTTGACATGCAGTCACATGTGAACGTCAGATTACACCAATGATAATAGGTTCAAATGGGGTAAAAACTTGACAACAGTGATGCTGGTAACAAAACCTTTGGATACTCAACATTACCGAATGGTTATAGGGGATTCATAATGTCTGAAATGATTTTAATCACTTTCTACTCTTCTTTTTTAATGAGACACATTAACATTCTAAGGCCATATTAGTTGGCAAGCAAGTAGGTTTTTCAGTGTTGTGTTTAATTAATGGCTGTTGCAGCTCGTTCACTGACTCCTTGAACACAAAGCACTTGAACTTCTCGCCTCAGTGTCCCACTGTGACCCGGTCGGGACCCCGCTGGTAACACGATGGGATGTCTTGGCTGCATTTGAAACCCAGCAGTCTCGCTTCACTGCAAAATATACTACAAGTTTTATGTTTAAAGCACTACTGTCTTTCATACAGCATTGAAAGAGTAAGAGGCTGGGAAACAATGTCTGCCGACAGTGCTGGCTCACAACACACTTTAATTACACAATGCTTCCATTTGGCCACCACTGTTCTCAATAGCTGTTTCTTAATGGGATCAGAAATCAAGATGTCTCTTTTCGTTCTAAAGACATAACCAAGACTCCAATAAAAAGGAGCTACTTTTGTGTAATAATATTCTCTCCTCTTTCTAATTATAGGAAAAATGTCCTTCAGGCTGGCATCATGTTCAATTCAAGGCTTTTCCCTGGGCTGCATTACTTAAGGCTTTAACCAACGATAATGGTAATGTGATCACGCTACCTCATTATCTTAGTGTGGATAAAAGCAGTATAAAACCAAAGGGTCAGAAGACCTGAAAGGCACTAAATTACTCCAGGGCTCACCTGAGGAAGCTGAGCAAGATATAATGGCTATGAAAATTCTTGTTACAAAAGCCAAATGCCTAAACAGCAACAAGACTGGTGACATACTGTAGTAAATAAGCCTTCAAGTCCTGAGGCAGTAGGAGTGCTCAAGTGACCTGTTAGAGGCTTAGATTTTAAGACCTTGAACATCGTGATTTATACCTATTTTAAACTTTAACTTACACATTTATTCCATTATAAGCAAAGACCTGTATAACCTCCAATACAACATCATGCCTCCTTGATATTTTATTTAAGTACAGTAATTGGTCACAGATGCACTTTTTTTCATACATGTTTTGTATATAAAGCAGTGCAATATAGTGATCTCACCTCTTTCCATACAAGCTCTCTCCAGCTCTTTCCATCTAAGCTTTTAACAGGTCACTAGAGCACTCCTACTGCCCCAGAGTTGAAGGCCTATTTAATATGTCACCACTCTTGTTGCTGTTTAGGCATTTCGGTTTTGTAACAAAACTTTTCATAGCCACTATAACACAGAACATACTACAAATACTGTATCTATCAGTTCTGACTGCAATCATGTAGATGTCTATGAAGCATAAGTTATTATTATCCTTTGGATGTCAATTAATACTTTAATGAGCTTAAGAGAAATATGTAACTCCCAAACAGTTAATTATGTATTCAATAATATATTGTTGCATGATTTTGCATTTAAAGTAAAAAGGCTTCTTTCTCAACCTTTTCAGATGATTGTTGTGATTAACATTTGTTTATTGGTCTACAGTCAAAGAACTGTTCTGTGGTAGATATAAAGACGAGCGGCAGATTGCAAAGTGTTCAAAGTACAATGTCATGTTTGTCTGGCTTGTTGAAAAAATATATCTTTATTGGTATCTGTAGCTATTTGTTTGGAGGAAAATTCGACAATCACAGTCCTGTCATTCTGTTGATCTATTATTGATCTAAGTATTCAGAGCCTTCCTGTGGTGTACCATTTTGTGAATTTACAAAACAGTGCACACATTTTCTAAACTAGTTAATTTATTCAAATCTTGCAAACTCAGACTGAAGACTTATAAGAGTAAGATAAATTACAGCAAATATCAGCAAAACCTAAAGCGAAGCTTTGCTTGAAATTCACTACTTGACCATGGGGCCTTACAGAGATACTGTGCAGTATGTGGATTTGTTCTGAAATCATGTGAACCACCATTATTGCACACAGACAAGTAATTGTGTGGATTGTTGAGACAGTGCTTTGCACCCAAATTAAGCTTTGCAGAAGCAAAGGGTTTGAATACTTATGCAATCATGACTTTTTCATTTTTCTTTCATATTAATTATCCCTTAATTTTGATTTTTACTTTGATTGTGTGGAACAGGTTGTGTATATGAAAAGTATTTTATTGCTATTTCAAAGCGTTTTGATTGCAGGATTTAAAGAGAA